GAAAAGTGTATGTAAGTGCTGAACATGTTCTTCAGTGGAAGAACTGGCGATTAAAACGTCGTCGACATAGACAAAAACAAAATCCAACCCTCTGGTTACTTCGTCGATGAATCTCTCAAAGGTTTGGGCCGCATTTTTTAATCCGAAAGGCATCCTCAAGAATTTGAACAGGCCAAAAGGTGTGATTACGGCTGTTTTTTCGATATCCTCAGGTGCCATCGGTATTTGATGATAAGCTCGGACAAGATCTAACTTCGAAAATATCCGTTTTCCGTGTAGATTCAAAGAAAAGTCGTGTAAGTGAGGAATGGGGTATCGATCCGGAATAGTCAGGTTGTTTAAACGGCGGTAGTCTCCACAGGGGCGCCAATCTTGATCCTTTTTCGGGACCATGTGTAGTGGGGAAGCCCATGGGCTGCTAGACTGCCTAATGATGCCTAGTTGCATCATGTGCTCGAATTCTCGCTTAGCAATTGTTAGCTTATCTTGTGGTAGTCTTCTTGGCCGGGCGCGTATTGGAGGGCCAGTGGTAGTAATGTGATGTTGTACATGGTGGGTGGTACATTCGTTTCGGTAGTCCACCCTGGTGATGCACTCTAATTCTGACAGGATATCGTTGAAAACGTTGTTCACAGGCTTCATTATTCGAACACCATGGATTTCGTTGTCGTTGGAGAGTGTACCATTTACCCGTAAACGTGTGTTTACGTCGATTAATCTCTTGTTGGTCATATCTACTAACAGGTCCTCGGCCCCGAGGATGGGTCGTTTGACTTGAGCAACTATGAATACCCATGTGAATCTTCTGCGGAGCCCGAGATCTAATATAAGTGATTGCTCACCGTACGTTTTGATAATTGATTCATTAGCCGCTACTAAGGACAATTTAGTGCTTGTAGTATGTTGTCTGCGTGAGAGATGGAGTGGGATGATGCTGATTTCTGCTCCAGTATTGACTCAATATTTTTCCAGAATCTACAGAGAATATTTAAATTTGGCGAATATTATGCATACGTTATTAAAACTGTGTATTATTTCATTTCTGAAGAAACCATAAATGGCTTTTTTCACAATGCATATGTACCAAAATGCTGTTTGTGAATGACAGTAATTATAAAAATGGGAACTAGCTCCTGGACAGCTAAAAATCCCAATAAATGAATTCTATCAGTATCCTGAACTGGGGATAATTGGTCCTTTAAATAGTTCATAGTCATTTCCGTTGGATAAGTTTCCTCAAATTAAAATCAACGATTAGCACTTTGTCGAATGATAAAGACGACTAAACTTAAATAATACCCCCAAACCACTACATCTCACCTCACATTCGTGACTTGATGAACACCTTGAAGAGTTGTAAGCAGCTGACGAAAAACCTCGAAATACTATGAATTCATACTATTCTGTATCAATGTTTGTTCTTGCTCTTTTTAAATTCATAAAAGGAAGCAATTGCACGAAACCTTGAAGAGTACTATTGTGACTTTCGATAGGACATTATTCACTACCAACATTTGTCGATCATTTTAAAGATCGTCAAAGGCAGTGCTCACTATTAATACTGGAGCCTAAATTGCTTCATGTGTTTTCAACAAAAGACAGAATAAAACTTCAGCTGCCTAATAACTATCACCAAAAGCAGTGAAGACAGGTTTATTCTGATAGAGCGGGTATACACCATTTTTGTCGACATGATCGATAATTTACAACACTGGCTTACAGATAAGATAGTTCCCAGTGGGTTTCTTAAATATATAAAATCAATGGAAACAAAAAGCAGGTCATTCTTGCAGTTGCACTGAAGTTAATAATTAGATCTATGTGATAGAACTGTACTATGAATATAGTTTATACGCTGTTTCATAAATGGCATCGCGTCCATGTTTCGACTTTATGAAATGCACGTCATATCTAAACTCGGGATTCGTACATTAGAATCGTTATGCTGCTGGGTATTTATGCAATACAACTGTTCAACACCCAAGTAAACTCTTAACTTCCATATAATTCCGAATAGCTGCCTAACACTCACAGGTCTATAATTTGGCATAAATACTGAGGTAAGAGCTTAAAGACTATCTCCCGACTGCAGATGCATCCCAATGGACAGACAAACTTCCACTCATTGTGTTTGGAATTCGTAGTGCAGTGAATACTGATTATGAGTACGCTACAGTTAAACTCTTCTATGGGACAAATGTTCTACTCCGAAAATTCGTGGATTCCTCGATTTTAGTTAGCATGATTTTTTATCCCCTAAATGAACTGGTTCACAAACGCCAAGAGCTAGGTTCGGCCAGCTTAAATACAACTGTAATTTTCTGTTCCTTATCTTTAACACAGATGACCGAGGACAAATAAATAAACTATAAAACAAATGATCACGGGCATATATTTCAGTAATTGAATTCACTAACATATACAGTGGTAATAAACAATTAATATGCAACTAGATTAAAAGATAAAACTTGACTGGAATAATAGTAATCTTGGAATAACACCAGATAAAGAGATAGACAGATAGACAAACAACCTGACAAAAGAATACTAGAGGGATTCACTTGCAAAATATTCGAATTAATCACACAATCAAGACAAGTTAACTAAAGAATCTCAACTAATCTATTCGACAGTTATATATTCAGTCACACATCGTATTCGGAAGTTGATCTACGACTATGTTGAATTAATATTTCCGCGCTAAATACCGTATTTAGTCGACTGATATCATTTTGCAACAGCTTTTCACTACGGTATACACACTTTTCGTTTTGATTCGTCACTTAGAATAAACGACATCTCTTAAAAAGGACTTTGCAGAGTTTTGGAGCACCTTATTGTCAGAAGAAATAGACTATAAAATTACTACCAGCACAAGAATTGGAAGGAAACCATCTTTCCAACGATCCTTACGCTACACGAGTCAACAGTGATATAGTAGACATTGTATTAGACAACACGTGACATCTACAGGTTACAAAGAAAACCTGACAGTTCCTAACAGATGAACAAAATCGACTTTTTCTGACAGAACCATGAGGCTCACTTAACACTTACAGATTTATTGTACATAAGACACTTTAGTAACCCCTTGATTTTACTCGGTGGTAGAATGAAGCATTCACTCATTGATAGGTTAAAACCCAACCTGAAGTTGCGATGTTTGTTACAGCGGGGAAGACGTATATGGATAGTGATAGATTATGAAAAGAAAGAAACAGAAGATAACGTGATTGGACAAATCCATAGCCACACAAGCTAACCTTACATTTGTTAATGAAACAACAGTGAAAGCCGACATGATGTAGTGGGTAACTATATACCTGCCTACCAATTAAATACGTCATTATGTTGAAATCTGTTACAATTATACAACGCATTTTCATACGGTCTACATTTGATGCGAGCTCTTACTTGTGTCATATCACAGTCACGCATTTACTGGGTTGAGTATTATTTCGTTAGATTGTCTAATATTCACACAGAAGACTTAATACCTTAGAAGAACATAATAAACTTTCAAAAGTCATTACGAAAAGTTCTGAGCCTATCTAACTGAATTCACAATTCTAAGCACATCTACAAAATCAGTTTTAAGGATTCATTGTCTTACGAGCAGATCGTAACTTGCGCTTCTCTCCACTTCCTATGTTGTCAATATCCAGAGATCTCTAATACGAGTTCTCTCCACAGGAATAAATAAATAATTTATGCCGTATTTATATTAGTAAGAGCAAGACTCTTCGGTGACTAAAATAACACTGTCTACAGTCCTTTCCACGCAGCTATATACTACTGGTCTACGTCGTTCACCTCAACTCTTTAAGGAAAACGTTAGACAGCGGTGATAATCAGATTAAACGGATTCAACGTTTGGCACTGTAAACTGTGTAGCAGCAAATTAACCCCCAAAATAATTAGCTCTGTAAGTTTTCGACATTGGATGCTGACCACATTAGTTTTAATGGACTCACCTACCTGAAGTTGCTCGGTCATGCATCCGCACCAGATCACGAGTGGAAACGCCTTGCTCAACAACCCCTGCAATCGCTAGCCAGATTAGATCAGACGATCCTTGATATATTGATAGCTTATCAAATATATCTTTGAACATCCTCACTTCTGTCTATTGATTTCACTTGGTGGGTACTGGTGTTCCTGGTGAAAGCGTTGTCGAACCCTGAATACCTGTGGCCTCTTCAACAGTTTATTAATTTTTCTGCGATTCGTTTTTCTATCGTTCTTTAAATACAACATTATTAGTAGGGTCTATGTGATGAAATGAACTCACTATCCCACAAATTTATTCCATTCGAAGCATGTGAATGAGTGATTAAACACTGATTCATTCTCGTATAAATACATATTTGTCAGCGAAAATGTATTCATAGATGACTCTTTTCGCTGTCTTCCGGTTTTTTTTATTCAAAACGAATGACTGAAATAAACGTTTCTTGACAAACCTCGTTTGGGTTTTTGAACATTTGTAACCCTAAGTTGGTTATCGTTTCAACGAGTTGTCTACGAATTATAGGATAGGTAGCCACTCGTTCCACGATCTGCCTTAATATATTTATAAGATAGCGTTCAGTAAGCAGGATGGCAACAGGGTTTTATTCGACTTATCTTGGAAATCGGTGGATGTGTAATTCTCACGGCGAAGTGTATATATTGTCCGAGACGATTTGCTGAATTTGGATAGAGAATGAATAAGGTCCGATTGGTTTAACATGAAAGGTATTGAAATACTTCCTTCCGCAATATCATAGTGCATGTCACACCAAATCTCCTGAAAAGATGTTTTTGTTGTACTGTCTTATACTTTATAAAAAGTGTTCCGCTTCATGTTTAGTAGTACTATTGAAACACAATACAAGCACCCCATCTACTCAAACCAATTTCGTTAATTTTTAATCACAAACTTTAAGGTCGCGGGGATTTTTAGACCATATGAACATATGATAAAGACTTAGTATTCGTCAGATTCAAATCCTCTTGGGAATCGAACCGTTGTTGACTTGCGCATATTTAAAATGAGTTCTACTTGGTCTAGTGTGGGTTTTTTATTTCTGCTTCCATACTTTTTTATAAGTACTTCTCACATTTCACACAAATCCAAGCCAATTTATCTCAAATTACTTGGACGTGTGTACAATAATCTATTTTGAAGATAATTGTTCTGCTGACAGTGAAAATAAACTGCGAACCAACTGCAATGCCTTAGGCTTAAAGACTAAATTTGTATTTAAGGTGTTTCAGAGATGTCGGAATCTTCTCGTGCTCAGGAAGGCTTGGTTAACCTATTCTGTTCGCAGTTATATTAACCAATTATATATTGCCGGTTGACAACACATTGATAATAAATGTATTTCTTTAGCTGTGTTGATTAAGACTGCCTTCGGTGGCAATATTCTCATAGTAACCAATAACCAAGTACTGTGAAATTTAGTGTTAGTCCAAAGACCGAATTCCCGGCGTTCCAAACACTGCTTATTGTATCCTACAAATTTCTTGTTAAGGACTAGGTGTCTTTAACCAATCCCAGCTCTTTAGCAGCTTCAAGTTTTCTAAATATAGCTTCTTATATTCAGTATTAATAAAGACATTTTGAGAGTAAACATATGTGCTTCTCGCAAACCACCTGAATTTGTGGGTTAACCTTTGTAATGTTGTACAACAGTTGCTTACTCGACCATATTTACTGTTATTTTGTTAGTAAAATGTACTATCAGTCTTTTTTAATTCGAATAATGAACCATTGTTAGGTTAATGTTCCACTTCGATGTCTTTCATTAAGACACTGGTACAATATTTTTAAACTAATAGTCAGTTTAAATTTGACTGCATACCCTAAGTATCGTATGAAAGACCAGAACTTGATCGTTTCTCTCTTTTTGAAGAACATAACTTTCGAAAAAAAGCTTCCCTAACATCAGTATAACAAGAAACGGGCTGTGATTTGTTAAGTTAGCTATGTAAATCTATTTGTTCGTACAAAAGTACTTCGTTGATAACTGAGGTGTGTTATGCATGAAGACTTACATAATTTAGAATTCAGTATTGCACCTGATTACCATTTAGTCAATTATTGATATCAAAACTGCACTAAAATACATATGCGCCACAAATCGTTGAATTAGTGCAGGCTCTTCCTACTCTTGGCCGCACAAGAGCATTTGGTGTTAAGTGACAAACAATTTTGGTGAATATTCTTGCCTGTATTCAGGTAACCTGTCTTGATACTGTCGTAAGCATTGACCCGTCTTATTATTTTGCTTATCAGTTGTTTGTTTGTTCGGTTGTTATAAAGGCGACTAAATTTTCCTATCAAGGTCCATTAAGTATTAGAAAACAACGTTATTCACCAACATTTTAGCTCTTAATATTAATTTCTACTTTTATCATAATTTTTTGGTTTCTGTATTAGATTCACGCGTTATTTGTATACCTTCGCGTTTGTGTTAGTTGTGGAAATTTCGTTTGTATCCTGTTGTTCTAGCGAACTTATCCTTACTTCTACAATTTTTACTTCAATTTCAAATGATCCTTGACAATTCTGACGTTAATTTCATTCAGTAGACTTAATTTTTCTGTCTTTTAGTTCACAAAACAAATCCGAAAATACTTATCAGACAGTGATGAACAAATTGTTAAAATACTGAGAAGAAAATTTCTCCAGACAACTTACGAATTTCAGAAAACTGAGGTATCTAAACCCATACTCGACAAATGCATAGCGGAGATAGCATTCAATCCAGATAGAATCTATGTTATTTTGAATGACTTAAAAACAACCTTTAAGCTGCATACATCGAAAATTGACAAAAAGGTATTATAATCGTTTTCATGATCATTATTGTGTATCTTATACAGTCCCAACAGGTTATTACCAAACGACGTCTGGACTTCAAGACAATAAGTCAGGGTTAGTTTTCACATTGGTGTGTGCTAGTACTGTCTATTAATGAATTGTAATCAACTCATAATTTGGAATTTTCTGTTACATATAAGTAGCTACTAAACAATAGAATGAGTTTCTTGTATCTTCTTCACTACATCAGTATTTACAGCTATCTAGTGTAAAAACACTTGAGAATTCTTCTGATAGTGATATTCGTAATAATTTCTGTTTAACTGAGATATTTGTTATTGATGAAACTAGTGGTCTTGATTGGTCAGCCTAGTAATAATGATATGTTCGACAAATTTTAGAACAGTGTACGTATGTTATCTGTCTGTGATAGAGTGTGTGTAACATTGTGAAGTAATACATCACGTAGAATCTTTGACAAAACCCCTGATTGTCTTGCCTCTACTATTCCTGTTTGCTGTTAGTGAGTGGTCAGCACGTTGTTTTAATTATTAGACAAATCATAGTTTATCGATCCGCAAATTCCATTTTTGTTGTTGTAGTATTACGATAGTAATCGTGCAATAAAACTGTAGTTGTGTAGTGTTCAAAGTACTTGACTTTGACTTCTCGAATAGGGTCATTGAGCAATTAGTGTTTCGTACCATAGAATTTCTTCAATACATGTATGTGCTTGATATACCTACCTGTAAGTCGGAAATAGCTAAACAGTGTTGAGTTATCTTCTATCCTCCTGTCATATTGACTAGTTCAGGAGTGCAGATAATTTTCGATTTATTCACACCGAGACACTTTATTTCACTATCAAGTTATTTATCTTAGCAGATATCGCAGACTAACAGTCTTCACATTCAGGATCCTAGTGTGGTCATTCACATGACCTCACCTCGCCAAAACGGAGAGCCGACGAGATACACCGTCTGTGTATCTGGCGACCCGATGGCTAGTTCTCGTGACCTGACAGGTGTAGGCATATCACAAAGCACAAGGGCGGAACAAGCACTATTATCGTGGATCCCGTTAACAGTCGTTGATGTGCTGTTCGGCCAAACTGCTCCTTATGAACTCGGGAGGATAGGAACACACGTCGCCGCCCTTTCGTCGTTTTTGCCTACGCTCCCACTGACTGCAGCTCGGATGAAGTGAAAGATGACTTTTACAGAAAGGTTTCTGAACTTCTTCAGAAAGCTAAATGCTCAGATATAGTACTCGTAGCAGGTGACTTTAATGCCCAGATAGGTAGCTTAAACCAAACAGAAAGACATTTAGGTTGGTATTTTTGTATTCTGGCTCAGCGAACAGATAATGGTGATCGTCTGCTGCAACTGTGCTCCGACAATCGTTTATTTTTAGCAAGCACTAATTTTAATTTGTTTGAAGACATAAATATTGGTACAATGGGGCACCAGATATATATGCGCCACACTAATTTTAAGCATGAGAAAAGACATCGTCTCGCATGGCGATCCCCCTGCACCAAACCAACGATGGACTCAAATAGACCATATTGCCATCAGTCATCATTGAAGAGGGTCGATTGTCGCTCATTCTGGAATACTTGCTTGGACTCCGACTATGCTCTAATACGGGCACGCATCTGCTTGCACCTCACTGGACGCAAAAAAGCAGGTGGTCCAGATGGATTGGCTCCAGAGGTCTTTAAGGATGGTGATCCAGTTTTAGCGATTAGGTTGACTAATATTTTAGCTAAAATCTGGTAGTTGGACGTTAACCCATCTGGCTAGTCACAATCACTGATTCTCCCAACATATAAGAAAGGGTCAAAATCATCCTTTGATAACCATAGAGGGATTAGTTTGACTAACATAGCATCTAAAATATTAGCCTCAATAATCATCGGGCGTCTAACAAAGACTTGTGGACTGAAAACACGAGAAAATCAGTATGGCCTCAGACCTGAACGTGGCTGCATCGACCACATATTCACCATTCGTCGGGTTCTAGAACATGGGCATACTTATCGGCGTCTGACAATGGTGGTCTTTCTTGACTTAAAAGCAGCATTTGACTCGGTAGACCGCGAGATTCTGTGGCAGTGTCTGTCATTGAAGGGCGTACCTCAGTAGTACAGAAACCTTGTGTAAGCTCTTTACTCAAACATTACTAGTCGAATCAGAGGTTATGGCGAACTGTCATCTACTTTTGCAAACTCAAGCTGTTTCCGTCAAGGCTGTCCACTTTCTCCATTTTCGTTTAACTTTATCATAGACCTACTGATGGGAATAACGCTCTCATCGACTGAATCGTCGGGTATTGATCTCCTACCAGGAGGTCCACTTATCGACTTAGAATACGCAAATGACATGGTCCTGTTTGGTGAAGACGCTGATAAAATTCAGTCTTTTGGTAGCACTAAGCAACAGTGCCACAATGTTTGAAATGCGCTTCTCTCCCTCTAAATGCAAGTCGTTGCTTCAGGACTGGTCCGCGTCAACACCTGAACTAAGGATAGGGAGTGAAGTAGTCGAACGCGTTGACAACTTCACTTATCTTGGAAGTCTGATCAGCCCTAATGGGTTGATGTCTGACGAAATCTCAGCTCGGATTCGAAAATGTCGTTTGGCTTTCACTAACTTACGTCACCTATGGCGAAGACGAGATATTCGTCTATCAATTAAGGGACAAGTATAATACGGAGCAGTTCGTTCTGTTTTACTTTACGGCTGCGAAACATGGTCATTAAGAGTAGAAGACACTCGTAAGCTACTAGTATTTGACCACAGATGCCTTAGAAATATTGCTGGCGTCTGCTGGGATCACCGGGTAAGTAATAGTGAGGTTAGACGCAGGGTATTAGGTAATGATGGTAAATCATTTGATGAGGTTGTTAATCTTCATCGACTGAGATGGTTGGGCCACGTGTTACGTATGCCCGAACACCGATTACCACAACGTGCAATACTAACCGGTGTTGGAGATGGTTGGAAGAAAGTTAGGGGCAGCCAAACCAAAACGTGGCATCAGTGCTTGAGGTCACTAACTTCTGATCTGAGCTATGTTGGGAGATGCATACTACTTGGTTGGGGTCCGCGTGACTATCGTAAACAATGGTTGGAGACTCTTGGTGACATGGCTCTGAATCGATCACAGTGACGTTGGTGTATACACCCTTCGCCTTCACTTAATCCTTGCGATTAGAATTACTCAAAATTTTCTACAAACTAATTCTTTCTTCTTGTACTATATCCTTATTGCTATCTTTCTTTTATATATTACCACCTCTGAATTAACTATTTTCATGAATCCGGTGTCCATCTTGTGTTAATGAGGTATGGCAACTTGGACCGATGCATATATGTGCCTGGTCCTACGTTGTAGCTGACTGACTGATTGTCAGTAATGAGCAGTTAAAAGTATTCGAGAAGTTCGAAGAATTGGTGATACTCAGTGGCAACACCATGTTAGAATGCTGTGTTCGACAATGTGCACTCGGGAACAGTGTTGATGATTCAATTGGTGTAACCATTTTGGAACGCCGGCTTCGGTGAGTTGGATATGTGTGGCGAACACTGACCCAATGAATTCCACATGTTTCATTATTTGCCGATACTGTAAGTGGTTGGTAAAAGCAGAGGTGTAGTCAGTTTTTGACACAATACTGTGACTGGAATCTATTGGTCCGTGTTGACTTTGTTTTTGGGAAGTAGATATTATGCAACTCAACGGCTTACGTTGTTATCATACATAGTTCAGAATAGAAGCCACAGTGGCAGTGTTACTGTAATTTTTTTACATTCTTCATGAAAGTGAGATGATCTTTAACCGTAAGAATTCTTTCGGTTATATTTTTCCTGACTGAATTGTTTCTCTTATTACTTACTAATCTCGTCCACTTATTTATATTGATTAATTGCCTTTTTCTAATCATGCTCACCTTTCTTCCTCTATCTCTTCATGACCTAATTTCCTTACTGTGCGTTAAATATTTATTTTGACGTTCCTTTGGACTTATATTTCTGTATTATTAAATTAATTGATAAAAACATCTTTGCGATCATCTCTATAATTATAAATAAATAATATATTTATAACAATCTACCCAATGCTCAATTTATTCGAAATTATCAAATCAAACCTTGGTAATGATACATAAAAATCTCTATAATTGTCCTCTCGAGTTTTAAAACTTCGTTACCACTGTACCGTTGCTTTTTTACTTTTTCAACTTTCCTTAATAGATGTTGGAAGTTCGCATATTAAACCAAATAATTCCCCCAATCATTGTACGGATGACGAAGTTTCACATAAGAATTCATCCCCAGTGTCAAGTTGTTCCGGTGATGACGATGTAATCATCGTTGACTCACCGGGTTCTCCAAATGTTATCAAGCCGCCGTCAGACCCTATCCAGTCTTCATTTGGTTGTTTAAAGAGTTCGACATCTGAAAATAAAGATCAGAAAAAGGAGTGTATTGATCGAAATAATGAGGACTTCGGTGATATTCAGAACGATAAGAGATGTAGGATAATTGGTCGTTTAGAGTGTCTTATGACAGTGAGTGTTTTTCGCATCTCTGTTTCATTTCGTTCTAGATTTCTTTATTGATCTTTGCTTTTTTGTAGGTCATACTGTTTTTTCAGTTTTTATGCAGGACGGAATTTTAAGATTATAATCATTTTGATAAGAACACTAATTATACATCAATGTGTCTCCGTTATTCGTTACTTTTTCTTGTTTATCAGCTTTTAGTCATTATGTAACCATTTTACTAAGTACCAGTTAATGTCATCTGATTTCAACTACACATATTTTTGTGCAAAATGTAATGATAACTGGTTGGTAGCCAGCTATGTTCACATTGAAGAAGTAGCGAAGTGTTAACTTAGAAGCGAATGGTTGAAAATTTAGTGCTTTAAACATTAAGCTAGTGTCCATTGGCTACAGTAATTCTTTTCACTTTTCATTTATCCCCCAAATGCCCTGGTACGGTCGAGAGTGGGAAGAGTCCGCCTTCCCTCTCGAAATGCTCTCATATGGCCACGCGTATATAGCCTCTGCCAGGGAAGTCCTACTCACTGCTTTCTCGTGGCGAGGGTATTGTTTACGAAAATGAGAGGACGAAAAGCGAATGTCTGGCGCTTTAACCGGATTTCAAACCAATGGTGCACATGGGCTCCAGTATCCTGCGGGAACAAATGGCGTATGAACCAATTATTGGTCACCGGCTACCATGGGACTGCATGTCCTTACGATGCTCCACTGCCTTGTGGATCACGCCTTCAGGTCGAAGGCTCGGGGAGTGGCCCCCTAAGAAAACCACCTGCTTCGGTTTTGGCACCCGGGCAGTATCACAGCCCTAACACACATCGAGTGAGATTTGTGTGGCGCATATGTATTTGGTGCCTCCTTGTACCAATATCTGTGTTAAAATAAATAAAATAAATATTCCAAAATAACCAAAACCCCTTCACATCCATAACTTTTCAACCAGTCACTTTGTTTTTTGGAACTACACGTGAATGCTTTTTTTAATATTCTATATTGTTTTTATTTATTTGAACACATAAATATTGGTACAAGAAGGCATCAAATACGCATACGCCACACAAGTCACTTGGTTTTTGTGTAGGCTATGGTACTGCCCGGGTGCCAAAACCGAAGCAGGTGGTTATCTTAGAGGGTCACACCTCGAGACTTCGACCTAAAGGTCTGATCCACAAGGCAGTGGAGCAACGTCAGGAGTTGTGTTCCCATGGTAGACGGTGACCAATAATTAGTTCATACGCCATTTTTTCCCTCAGGGTACTAGAGTCCATGTGCACTATTGGTTTGGAATCAGGGTTTCCCAACCCCCCTAGATGGAAACTCCGTGTCCACCAACCCGATTAAAGTAACGGACATTCGCTTTTTGTTCTCTCAGTTTCGTAAACAACACCCCCGCCATGAGAAGGCAGTGTGTAGAACTTTCCTGGCAGTGGTTGTATGCACGTGGCTATGTGAGAGCATTTCGAGAGGGAATAGTGAAGTAGTTAAGCGCATCAACCACTACATTTATCTCGGAAATTCCATCAACCCTAGTGGGTTAGTGTTTGACAGATTCTCGGGATAAATTCAGAAAGATAACTTGGGTCACTTGTGGGGTAGGTGAGATGTCCATTGGCCTTTTAAGGTGGTGAGTATGCTTCACAACAGTGTTTTACTGTATGTTCGAAAAGCATGACTTATTAAAGTAGGAAACATTCGTAGGTTGTTGGTTTTCGCTAATCGGTATTTACAAGGCATCGTTCGCAACAACAATGTGAAATGTTGAGGTTAAATATATGGTACTAGGCAGAGATGCCAAGATAATTGATGAGACTGTAAGTTCCCACTGACTGAAGTGATCGGGGCATTTGTTACGTGTCTGCTACTACCACCTACTTCGACTCCCAATGATGACTGAAATTGAAGTAGGTTCATAAAAAGCTAGAGTCCCAAAACAAACGTGACATCAGTCCATGGAATCACTAACTGTTGGATCGAGCTGTATTGTTGAATACAGACTACTTTTTCGGGGTCCGCGCGAATATCACCACTAATGTTTGAAGGCGTAATCAGAATCGGTCACAGTAGCGTAGGTGTATTCACTGTTTTCCTTCCGAAAGGTCTTGAGCTGCAACATTTTTGTCCACTTTTTATTCCCCGGATTCATCCTTCTTTTCAAATGATTTATGGACGACCATGATATATCATTTGTCGATCAGATATCGAGCTATTCATTGTTCAAGGCTGTGGGACCTTTAAGTCCTGAATTACTTGGAATGTGCTTGGAATTATGAACATTTACTGACCTCTCTGTTCTTCAGGCGTATGTACTTTGGCATGTATGTGTAAATTGGCTAATGCAGTTAAAGGTATTGAAAAAGAGGATTTATTGATTTTTGTTTGTTTTAAGGAGTAGTTTGTTTCGCATAGAGTGATGAACCTTGTCTCCGGATGAGCAATAATCAACCAAGCATCTATTCTTTGCTTAATTTATGGAGCACTCTCTTGTCCTCTAAAGTTGAGGTGTAGGAAGCAAGTTTTTTCAGCTGAATTATATTTGACTGTCCTCCGTTTGAGCGTACTTATCGATGAATTTCTGTGGGCATGTATTTTCGCGTGAAAACATCTAGAAAGGCTATTCTACTCCCATTTTCCTTCTCCCATGTGAATTTTATGGACGGGTGAACGGTATTGAAACGATCGAATGTTTCTAGGAAGTCCGTCTGGTTGTTGCAAGGGATAAATGTATCATCCATATATTGACAGTAAAACGAAGACTTGTCGATCTCTTGTGCTAGTTGGCCGTTTTCTAGTTTAGAAAGGAAAATGTCTGCCAATATGGGACCCAGGAGTGAACCCATCGCGACACCATCTATTTGTCTGTAAATTTCACCATTGAATTTGAAATGTACATTCATAGTGCATTTTAGTAATAATTCTTTGATGATCTCCACAGGGATTGTCGTTTCCAGTTCTACTTACAAGGAGAAAGGACGGGTCGCTAAAAAGAAACATAAACAGGAAAATTACCTGGACGGGTCAATATACTAACTTTCTTAGTTTCGTTCCTCTACAATAAAAAAGGAACCTTATTAAGACACTACATCATAGAATCAAGACTATATGCACTGTGGATACGATTGAAGATGAAACGAAGGCATTATTCAAAACCCTGAAGGAAAATGGATATTCTGAGAAATTTATAAATAAAAACATAGCCAATAAAAGACAGTGTAGAGAATGTCTAACGGTAAATAAAAAGCCTCTATATATACGCTTATAATTCAGAGGCGATGCACCGAGCGAAATGCTAAGACTTAAGTTAATCAGATCAATTCAAAGGACTTTTAATGCGGCTAAACTACAACTAGTATTCTCCACACGACCAATAATCACTCCGAGGTTGAAGGATAAATTACCAAGACTAGCTACCTCCTTCTGTATCTATCAATTCAACTGCTCCTGTGGAGCAAGTTATATTGGCAGATGTTATAGGAATTTGTACATTCGGGCTCGTGAGCACCTACCTGTGTGGTTAAGCAAAAGTGTTGTCAAAACTGTTAACAGCTCCATCTTAGACCATCTAGTCCAAACAGGACATACAGCCAACATGGAGCAATCTTTTGCAATAATCTATCGTGTTAACAGCAGTCTACGTAATTCCGTCAGACGGCGAATCCTAGAGACGGCTGAAGCAATTGCTATTCGGATCAAAAAGCCAGAGCTTTGTATACAAAAGAAGTATGTTCAGCCACTCCTTTTAACCTGGCCAACTCTGGGGCCAACTAGCTAATAACCAATCTTATAATGTGGTGACGTAATCTGATTAATGTTCATTTTATATCCCAAACCTATTATTATTATTATTATTGCCTTTACACTTGATAACCTTTTTGAGGAATTTATTCAGTATCCACCCCTGAATCTACTATATTTGACCTAATTCATATTATTTTACATATTACGTAATTTCCGATTTGTGATCACAATACTCTCTCTCTCTCTTACCTCATGTTGACCATATTTATTCTGATAATTTATCTCATGATTTCATTTCGCTTATAAACTGATTCAAGTTAACAATTCATATTAGTCGCCCCCCATGAGTAAGCGTTAAATTGTAATAACAGCTTGTGCGTTGAAACGTTTTATATCATGTATATATAAATGTATATTTAATATCAACGAATTGCATCAAGTTAAAGTGTAAGCATAATGATGATCCGTGGGGCCAATAAAGAAAAATAGTAATGAAGATAAAGAATTTTTGTGTTGTAAGAGCAATCTCAGGACGTGGTCTAGATAAATATGGTTGTTGCTATATACCCATCTGGCCAGTGTACTCTTCTTCCTGACCTTGTAGTTTCTGCTGCTGCTGAACTTTGATGTGAAGTATTGTTTGTTGCAGGTAGTTTGTATGGTGCTTGCTCTGCTGCGGGTTTAGACAGTTTTACAGTTGTCTGTTTTTCAGTGTTCTCTAAAAACACTGGTTTTACTCTGTCGATGCTAACAGTATCATGTTTACCTGCTCTTTCCACTGTAACCGTTTTGCTGTCCTTTCGGATGATTTCAAAAGGACCATCGTAAGGAGTCTGTAACGGCTGTTGGACGAATACATGTGATCAGTTGTCCAGTTCATTGGGTACGAATGACTTTACCTTTTGGGTTCGTGGTTCAACGGACCTAATGGATTCCATCCGCTGTTTTAATTGTTGCACTTAGTTGGTTATGTCTGCTGGAATATCTGTTGCACGGTCAAAAAATTCACCAGGCAAACGTAACGTTGTTCCATAAACCACCTCAGCAGCACAACAACCGAGGTCTTGTTTGATGGTTGAGCGAATGCCTAATAGTATCGAAGGAAACTTGACATCCTATTTGTAATCTCCTCCTGCAGCCGTCAAAGAGGCTTTTAACTGTCTGTGGAACCTTTCTATCATTCCATTAGCAGTCGGATGGTAAGCAGTGGTTCTAATTCTCTTTATACCGAAAGTATCTGTAAGCTGCTGAAATAGTTTGCTTTCAAACTGAGTCCCACGGTCGGTCGTAATTTTTGTAAGGACACCGAAGTTTATAATCCAGTGTTTCACCAGTTTCTTCACCACTGTTGATGCCGACGTGTCTTTTAATGGAACAGCTATGGGCCGTCTCGTAAATCTATCTATACATGTTAGTATATGCGTGTAACCATTAGAAATTGGTAACGGTCCAACGATTTTGATATGAATGTGGTCGAACCTAGCGCTAGCGGCGGGAGAAATTCCTGTAGGAGATATGATATGTCTATTTACCTTTGACTTCTGGCACTGGATGCATTCCCGTGACCATTTTCGTACATCTTTGTTTATGTTTGGTCATACAAACTTATCTGTGATAAGCTTTAGAGTGGCTTTTGTACCTGGATGTTTCGTCTCATATCATAAGGTACAAAGGGGCGCGTTTTACCTGTTGAGATAGCACAGGTTAAGGTGTCCTTGTTGTTTATGGGGATGTTTTGGAATAATAATTTCATTTCTTTAGATTGCAAAAGCTTTTGTAGCTCCCTATCGAGCTTTTGATGATTTGCTATGTCTTGATAGTTTATATCAGGGATCGATAAGGTATTGATATTTAATCTCGATAGTGCTATCTGCTGCATCATTTTCATTGCCTTTTCTATAGCGTATATCAGCTGCAAATTGCGAAGTGAATTCTAGTTGACGAATTTCGCGCGGACTGTATTTATCATGATTGTGCATCAAGGACTTAGAAGTTTGTGATCAGTATATATCGTAAAAGAATTGCCTTCCAACATATACCGAAAGTGCTTGATGGCTAAGTAGATAGCCAACAGTTCTATACCGAATGTGCTATATTTTGTCTGCGTTGCGTTTAGCTTTTTTGAGAAAAACGCAAAGGCTTGCCATTGTTGATTGACACGTTGCTGAAGTACAGCACTTACTGCTACATTAGAAGCGTCGGTCATTACTGCTAAAGGTGCATCAACCTTTCGTCGTGCAAGTAATGCCTCGGTGCTTGAGGCGCTTATCAACTGTTCAAATGCTTGAATTGCTTGCGGTGCCATTACTAATGATTTAGCTCGTCCCCTTAATAAATCAGTTGACGGATTTGCTATGTCTGCACATTTCGGGATGAAACGTCCGTAAAAGTTGATCATCCTAAGGAAACGTCGTAGTTTCTTGAATGAATGAGGTAAAGGATAAGTTTTGTTAGCTTGTGTTTCCTCAGGAACTGGTTTGATGCCTTGATTGTCAAGTACGTGACCTAAAAAGGTGAGGGATTGTTTTCCGAACTCACATTTGTCAGGGTTGACTGCTAACCCATACTCGTTTAGCTTCTCAAAAAGCATTTTCAGACGAGTTAGATGTTCATTTTCATCTTTGCTTGCTATAAGTAGGTCATCTATGTAAGCATATACAAACGGTAAGCCACGTACCACTTGGTCGATAAAACGCTGGAAACTGTGCAGCATTCCTTAATTCGAAAGGCATGCGAACAAATTCGTATAGTCCAAATGGGGTAGTAATGACTGTTTTAGGAACATCGTCCGGATGAATTGGAATGTGATGGCAAGCACGGACGAGATCAACTTTTGAAAAAATGGACACATCAGATAGACTATGAGTAAAGTCGTGTAAATGTGGAAGAGGATATCTGTCTGGTATGGTCCGGCTGTTGAGAGCTCTATAGTCACCGCAAGGTCTAACTTCGGAAGAGTTTTTCTTGGGTACCATATGGAGAGGTGATGCCCACGGACTATTGGAGGGGCGTATGATACCCAACTCTATCATTTTGTTGAATTCGTTCTTTGCGATAGCCAAACGAGAGGGGTCAAGGCGTCTTGGACGTGCGAACGCTGGTGGACCCTCTGTCTTTATGTGATGTACAACGCTATGTGTCTGTTTGTCATGTAAATTGACGTACTTGTCGTCCTCGTGATGAGGTTTGGCTAATAAATGTATGGAAATCTCATTTGCCGTACGTCTTGATGTCAGACCTGTTTGCTGCTTGTAGTTTTAGTTTGGGGTCAGGTGTGTTTTTCTCGAGTGTAGTGGGTGGTACTACACTAACCTCTGCCCCAGTGTCGACTACAAACTGTGTGCCGGTTCTTTTGTCTGTAACATATAACAGACGGCTGTCTTGAGAGTTGTGGTCAGTGACTGCAGTCGTCACTAACCGGCGGTCTTGACGTTCCTTTTTCGAAGTTACAAGGTGGTGTACATTTTTTAGCTTGTTTGCCGTACGTTCTATGGTACCAACAAATGTTGTGTCTGGTAGTGCTTGGACTAGGACGTTAACGGCTCCTGGATGTTCCTCTACACTTACTGTGGAGAGTATTCAATAATTGGAGCTGGGCTATCTGTTTAGTGAGGGCATCAATAGTAGTCGAATGGGCTTGCTGCAATAGAATCTGTTATAATTTTGATGAACTCCATATGTTTTTGCGTTAGATATGCCTTTGTAGTTGACCAGCTGGAGTTAGTATAGTTCCAAGATCAAGGAATTGAGATTTTTCATTCTGTTCATGTTTTATAGTAAACTCTATTTCACTGTGTGTTTTGTTGAATAAATTGAATAGGTATGTAGAATGCTTCACTGTTACAGACATGAAATATATCATCCACATGTCTTCTGTATAGTTTATTTGTTTTTATCGTATGGTTTGACTTTGTCTATCCCGTGTTCCTCATAAAGATATTCTATATTGAACCTAGGGTGTTACCTATAACAATTCCATCAATTTGTCGATACATCACATTATTAAGCTAGAATTTTGTATCCTTAGTAGAAATGAACAGAAGCTGTTTGAATTCTGTATTGGGGAAGGAAGGAGATCAAGATATCGATGTATAATATCAGCAGTTTTTTTGCAAATGGATCATTGTAAAGAGCGAACAAAAATCAAGTGATGCCGTAAGTTTATTGAAGATGCCTCAAGCTTTCAGTCTTTTGTGGAAGTTCGAAACCATCTTGTAGACTTTAGGATGCTTGTTTCTTATGAATTGGTTGTGAGCATTTCGCTAACTAAGGGTTAGTTTTAGGAAACCACGAAATAAAATAAATTCATATTATTCTACCTCAATTGTTTTTCTGGTTCCACTCAAATTCGAAGGTAGCCAAAATATAATGAGAAAAAACTGCATTTGGTTCGTTGGTGGGTTAAAAATACTTACAATTTGATAATGTTTTGAATCCAGTTGTGCTACCGAAAACAGTATGGGATACATCGAGTTGTTCGCTGCCATTATCATTTTTTCCAACCTTGCTTGTCACACTCCTTTTACAGTCCTTTGAACTATAAATAAGGTTGTACTTGTACTAAACTCAAGGAGACCAACTTAACTTCTTCCATCCATTATTTCTTCTGTTTTACAAAACTAGCGTCTCTCTCAAGCTATTCGAGAATTGGAAGAAAAAGAACTTGATTTTAATGAATTGGATTCGTCCAATTCACCGTACCTTAAACTAGATGCTTTAAAACGTCAATATTTGAAAGTATGGCGTCGACATTGTGAACTACGTAATGTTGCTCGAAAATCTGGACGGATATTACGTCAAAGATTTATATATAATGGTATGTTAGTTTAGTTTTCGTTTTGTAAATTAAGTGTTTGTACTTCGATTCATTGTGTAAACTCCGCCCAATAGTGTTTATCATTCACTAATATTAGTACGATTTAATTGGTGATCGTTTAACCACGTTAAATGGGTGTAATGTACTCTGTTTATCTTAAAGAGCTTACAGAAATCAACAAATGTGGCTCGATTCATTGCCACTTCCATAAAGATGAATCATTCGCTTCATATGATATACCATTTTGGACTCAGTCTGATAATGGCATCGATCGTTTTAACTATTATCCTCCAGTCCATTGATTTCAGTCGATTGTTGATTAGGTTCGCATCATGTAAAGCCGTAGATATACCGCCAGGGTAAATCACACCATAACAATAAAATCCAGAGTATCCATTTTTACATAGCATGAAGGTTAAATTTTAATCAACGAGCTAACTCGTTTATTTCCCAAAGTAGAGTTTTTCATCACTCTGAGATATAGCGATTATAATAATTACCAGGGCATAACATACTTCAGGACTTTAGTACCCTGTATATTGTAGTATACTAGTTTGTTTCTTGTATGTTTTAGAGTCTGCATAACACTATAGAAGTTAGTATTCTAGACTCAACTGGTACCTGACATATAATCGTAACAACACCATAGAGCATGACATAAATGTTTGTCATCCCAAATTGTCACCTACACCGGTTGAGTCTAGAATGCTAATTCCTATTGTATTATGAAGACTTCAAAAAATGTGAGAAAATGACTTTCACTACAAAACACAAGAATGTTGAAGTATATTATTTTAAAACAAGAAAAACCAAAAACGACTATCTGTTCATTGTAGAAAAACTGACACTTGAAAAATGTATCGTTACATGCATCCCAGTAATTAAGTCACGAATTCACGTATTCGGGTTTTAATCATAGTGTTCATAAGAAATGAGGAAGGAGTTGAACTGTATATCTTATAATTTAATTTGAAATATCTTGAGTTATTTTGTTGCTGATATCACTGAAATCTGATCAGTCTTGGTTGACATGTGTGAATCCTGTGCAGATTAGCTCAGTATGGTCATTATCACACAAGCTGGTACAAAATAGATGAGATGTAGTTAGCAGTAGAACTAAAGACGGGTGTTTCGTCCTGCATTGATCATCAACTCTGGGATGCGAGCACATCCGACTGACGAGTCCTAAATATGACGAAATGTGCCTCCTAGATTTTATTGCTAGCCACATTCCATTTATTTTATAATAACCTGTATACTTAATAATTGAAAGTTATATACCTTAACCACTAATTCACCACTCTCTAAGAATTAATTTTACCATATTATTGTTGATCTGATACAGTACAATTCCATGGGTGGTGGTAGTCTCTTTAAAAATTGTGACAGTGATTTGGTGAAAATATTGTCACAATAGCTAGCGTTTAACTTCACTAGATGATACTGTCTCGATTTCTACCTATCACTATATCGTAATATTACTATTTTCCATTAAACCGTCTTGTTTGTTAATAATAAACAAATATACAGTAGAATTTCATTCACTATCAATCCAGTTTGATTAATTTGCATGAAATTATTACGCTGTTAATTATTTAATAATTTCTATTTTTTATTCTACAGGAAGCCAATATCCAAAAGTAAACGAAAAAATTGAAGAGATCGTTAATCAGAAAAGACTGTTTCCTGATTGGACTGATATTTATCGAATAGTTACTTCAGTGAATAAGGAAGAACACTTGAATTTGACGTAAGTACCATTGTTCATAGGCGTACAGTGTGATTGTTATTATTAATATCAAGTTTGGTGATTTCTGTGTGCAAATCTTTATTTTTAGTTACTTCCATCAAGAATCAGCATCAACTTGATGATTATAAAGAACCTTACATAAAAATGCGCCTTAATGACTAATGATAACAGCTAGCTCTACCTGACGATCATTTAGGTTAAGAATTGGTTAACTCGTACTTCCTAATTTGATGTTCTGTAGTTAGAATTTTGAATTCTCACTGTTAACACGATGCACTGAAGCCACCGTGCTATATATAATACACTGGTTTACGTATTCAATGTCAGTTAAGTAGTACTTTAAGATCATCTTTGTCCTACATAACTAGCACACCTTACTATTTCACTCCCGACTTAGCTAACTGGATAGGTTATTTCCATCGCAAAGTGAGATGGTTTGGATTGGTGTTTAAGGCTTTTCGTTTCCTCTCCACCGACTTTGATTTGGACAAACGTATAGTATCACAATTCGTCATACTAAAAGCAGACTCACTCAAAGCTGAGTATATAAACGTGTGTTTAATAGTTAAGTTGTTTTCATTCATTCATATCGAAACAAATCAGTATTGAATACATCAATTCGATAATTTTTTACGGACATTTCGGTTTCATTGAATGAAATACTTGTTGACATGATGATTATATTACTAGTTAGACTTGAAAGTGGCTTGATAATCGTTCATTTTATGTAACTAATTTTATTAAGCAGGGTAATGAGTAATAGTCGTGGTCGTATTGATGATTTTTTTAAGAGCGTTTACAAGTACCGTTGTAAAATAAACCCTACACAGATGACATTAAATACTGAATACAGTATTGCCATATATGAATATGATGGAATCAAACAGTTATTAGTTATTTCATCTGACTTTTCCGGATTTCATTTATACTCAGAAGTTAAGTCTTCAAACAGATGCCGTAGATTTGCTTGAAAGAGTCTTTAGTCAACACAGTTTTACATACTAAGCTTTATAATACATTCGATATATACGAACCAGGTATAACATCTAGTTGCGTAGATATAATTAGCTGAAATGTTTTAATAAACGTATTATTGAGTGATTAGTTAGTGACCGCATAAATCATATCCTTTTTAAAAATGTTTTACGATGACTCAGGGAGTATTTTACCAGGGAGATGTATCGTCTTACAACTATGCTTTCAAAGTGATAATATTCTATGGTTTACATCACGAACTGATGCTAGTTAAAAAATATCTAAAATAACCAGTAAATGCTCGAGAACTCTATTCTCCTAGGGTGAGGCCCTTCATCATTTCTCATCCGTAACTCAACCGGAAGTCGTACCCTGTGACCTTCTGGTCTCGCAGCAGACATTGAACTCTTAGACTACTAAGTGGAGATCTAATGGTTTGCATATCTGTCTTTGAGCGTTTCGTGATATTGAGAAGTCATGTGCTTGGTCACCGGCGGTGGGGTTGTGGCTAAGCACGGCTGAATGCCATATTGAATTATACATCTGCTAATCGCTCTTTGGTTATTAATAGTTGTCTTAGATCATTTCTTAAGTAAATTATGAATTTCAGCAATCTGCAAGAGTCACTTATAATTAAAAAGGGATATTTCTCGTATGGTAAATATGAGTGCATTAAATCATTCTTACTTTTATTGTAATGTATGATCATTTCACCACTTTTTTATCGTCATATGTTTAGGGGATCAACTGTCAAATCTTTAGCGCGTGAAATCTTTATTGATGTTGGTCATTCATTAAAACAACGACGTCAAGATGATTTAAGACACGATTTCGGATGTCATCTGACAGATGACTTATGGTATGCTTTGTGATGCTTTAAGTTTCCATTTATAAATCTGAATTATTTCAACTCTTATACCTCATGTGCTGAAGTTTTGTCCAAAGATCTAAACATACATAATTTTTTCTGGCAAGTCTGTAGATGCGCTTTTAAATATCAAAACAGCCTTCGATCTGTTAAACAGGACTGTACTATGGGATCGTCTTTTGAATAAGTGTGATTTCACTTCCAGCTCACACCGTAGGAACCTATGCCGGGACTCACTCTTTGTGTTGACTGAAAGTTTTTATATCTATGCAGTTGTATGGAGACTGTCGGTGTCATGAGTAATGAGATAAATCTACGTATAGTGAAAATCAGATCGGCATATGCCAATCTAGGCCATCCTTAACGCTGTCATGATGTTAGTCTGACTGTGAAAGGTCGGTTCTACAGTGCGTCGATGGAGACAGCCTTGGTCTATACTTGTGTAACCCTGGCTTTTATGAGTTGAGGATGTTGGGAGGCTACCTCCGTCCGATCACCATTGTCTCTGAAAGATTGCTAACCTTCAGTGGTAGCATCGTGTTATTAATGGTGTGTTCTGGGATAGCGATGATAATTCAGTTGGTGCCACTGACTTGAAAAACGTGCTTCGATGGGTTGTGTGTATGTGACGAATTTCATCCCAGAGACTTCCACATTATGCTTTAATTATCGATGTTTGGAGTGGTTGGTAGATGCGGAGATGTGGTCGGTGTGTGGGAATATGCTGTTATTGAGAGGAAACTGTATTAGACTGATATCTGTCAGTCCACCACGACTTCCTTTCGGGGTTCTAGGCATCGTGGAGTTCAGTGGCGTAACACTATCAGATATGGGTGTTTAATCCAACGACATTTACTCAGTTTTTGTGTTATTCTCAAGAAACTTGTCAATATATTTGTACGCTTAATTAGTTTCCTCTGATGTGAGGCATATAATAATGGCAATCCAATCTAGATTTAACTTTTCTTTTTGATGAAGTAACCACGGCGAAGAAACTAGAGAAATTTGTTGTTGTCATATAACTTTTTCTTATTTATTGTCACTTTTCTTATTTGTGTAACTTACTAAATTAATCATTATTTTACTCTAATGTATATTGTTGTGACAAGCGGTGCTACGCTCTGACCCCCCCAACTGACTACTTGGACGAGAACACAAGAGTTAGTGCAAAAGTGTATTGTACTACCAAATAAAATGCACACTCATATATATATACCACTCTAACCCTTAGAAAATCAGTCCATTTCTTAGCCAATTAAAGGCACTTGTTCTTTAGGTCACTTCTGATTGCCATCGATCAACCTTCTCATTACTCTACTTCTGATTGGCTCTCCATATCATATATTATTTGTGTTTTCTTATTCTTTGTTTTATAAACTAAGTGATGATGATGATCCAACTTATTCTAGTCGAGATTTACGAAGAAAGCTAACTGAAAATAAACGTATTGGTGATAACAATCTAAACAAGGTTGGTTAATAAATTTCGTTAAAAAATTTAAAGAACCCCTACATATAAATTAATTTATCCATGTTTAAGATACACAATGATATTTTAGCAATTTGAATAAATAACATTTCTAATTCATAGAATTAATAGTATCAACAAAGAACTTGATATATAGGCTTCTTTAAATGCTAGTCTTAGTAATGAATTTACTAGGACTAATTGAGTTTCTTCATAAAATTGAAGACTGTAGGTAGCTTGATTAAGTATCGGTCTCATGAGTTGGCAGGTATATTCATTGTTTATTTTCTTATAGATCCAGTTTTAACATTATTCTATACTTCTCTATTCCATGAATTCATTCTTTCATATTGATTTATATTATGTATACCTAATCCTGTTCACTAGCACTACTAATACTATTGTAGTGAACGTGAACCCAGGTGGGGATAACCAATTTACTTTTCGATGCAAAATTACAGTTTTTTCGTAAAACATGAAAAACCATACATTAAATACTTCATTTGAAAATCTTCCACCAATTGTCTCAAACTCCATCGTTCGTTCATTGCTATTATAATTACTTTCTGTTTACATTCCCGTTCTCTTCATTTCGATCTCTTCAACCTTCTACTGCCAGGTACTCCACTTCTGATTGGTGTTACATACGACTTATATCTGTCGATATAACTAGCGTGTACCACACTCCCCTCTTTGAACAGTCGCTCTTGCGATTGTTCTACTTTCTTTGTTACGATCTGTGCCACGCTCCCCGTCAGAATATCGAGTCTGTCGGCGCGTTGACCTTCGTAGTGATGTCGACCTGTCGGGCCATCTAAATCCGATATCTGCCCAGCATCCGGGACGTCTAACGCCTGTGATCCAGTGACCCACTGAGCCATCTACATCCGATGTCCGCCCAGCAGCCGCACGTCTCAATATTACTACTACTGCTTCATCATTGATTTTGTTAATTACATTTTTCTGTGATGATATGCCATAACAACTTGAAACATAGGATATACGTATCGGGTACTCTACATTGCTTTATATCTAACTAACAAAATGTATGGAAACTTGAAAGTTTTGACGGATTATCATTACTATATTGTACACCCTTTGATACAGTTTGTTCAGTAGGAAGAATCATTGATTAATGATTGTAATTGACCATAAGTTCATAGTGTTACTTAACTAAAACAAGTACATGTTATCTGTTTTATTATTTTTATTGATTATGTTCTCTACGTTTATACTTCACTAGGAAAAAACTTGTTCTTTGAAGTGTGTATATTTTCTTGCACTTTCTTGTACTTAAAATAGTATCAAGGTTAACGACGGGTTTTTAAAAAAAATATTACTTTTCATCAAACTTGTTCAGTGTTTTATCAGTAACACTTAGAATGATCAATAAAGATAGTTTTCATAATCCTCACTACATTATTTACTCTTTTAGGTATTCAAACATTATATTGATATTCAGCATACCATTCAAACTGTTCAACAAATTATACAAGAACCTGAAGATAACAATAAAGTTGAGCATGATGTTAATCGTCAGTCTGATATGATGAATTCTAATGGGAAAGTTTCCGTTCCTAATCCGGTTTGTTTTGCAACGAACACTCAACAGTGTGAAAATGATAAACTTCCTAGTTCACCAGCAACATCTGATGAAGTGTTAACTTTAAGTTCAGATTCCGATGAAAATGAGGAGACGAAACCTCATGATATCACTTCAGGTTCCGTAAGTTCATCAATGTCAGGTTATGATGAATCCACTCCTACTAACGATGTATCACAGGAATCTTCTGTTAAAAATGATAGACGTGATGAAAAAATCAAAGATAATATCGATGCTTCAAACACTTCTTTGTCTGTCCCCGTAACATGCTCTTCAACGACGTTACCAACAACAACAATCGATCTACTTGATGATGACATTTCATCGACAGATTGTTTTACTTCAACACCTCGAGAAAAAAGACCAAGGCTGGATCACTCTTGTCATTCAACTGATCCTTCTATCACGCATAATAATCGATTTCCTTTTTCCACACCACTACTTCAAGAAACTAGACAATCTAGCCAAGTTTTAACAGTGGCCACACGATATGGTCCATATGGATGTGATACATTCAGTCAAATGGCCAGTGCACATGTTGTACACCGTTATCCTGTAACTACTACTACTAATAATAATAATACTACACTAATTACAAATAAAATACTCGAAGAATCTAGTCGACATTTTGTTAATAATTCATATAAATGTTCATCAATAGTACATGTAAATTCTTGTTCATCTACTTTTAAACCTTTAGCAACATTGTGTAATAATAAATCTTCAAGTATTTCACATCCTACAACTACTCAATATCATCTGCCTAATTCAGATTCTTTAAATAATACCAATGATGTTACAACATCATGTAAAAATTCGCCTAGAGTTTATGATCACGAAACTATTGAAATCGATTAAAAAAATTGTTCAGATTCCCTTTCCTCTTATTTCATTTTGTACTTACAAATGTATTTATGGTTGAATTTCTTTCCTTTGTGTCTATTCATAAATATTAAAGTGGATATAGAGTGGCTCGTTTACCTCGAACCATTTTATTCCTCAGAAGTATGATGTTTTCTTTCAAACCACTTTATCGGTAAACATAAATTTGTTTGTTTTATTTTAAACATAGTTTATTGCTTTCCCTAATTAGTAGAAAATGTTTCATCTTCAAAATAAAACCATTATTATCAACCCTAACTAGTTTCTAGACATGAAGTAGAAGCTGGGTTCATTATTAAATTGCTTGATTGTAACGTAATGATCTTAAACGTAAAAAACGGCGAAGTTTGGGTACAACGATTCTCGTCCATCGTGACCAATTACAAAACAGTTTATATTGTATGGTGCTTTTATTGAGTCACTAAGTGGTATACTGCAAGTCCAAATGAGTTTCAATATATCTGGTTTTTGTGGTCATTTCTAAACAAGATACGATTTGATACAAGTTTCTTCAGTTCACATCAGCATAGAGAATGGACGTCGGAGGGCTAACACCAATTTTAGTAGAAAAAGAAAATTAAGAAATATGGAACAAAGGAACGGATGATATCTACAGTTGAAATGGCAGTAAAATATTTAAATAAATATGGAGAATGAAAACAATTGCGATCTTCTATGGAATGTCATTCAAGGTCTTTTATCATAGATCAAGGTCCAAGTCCATGTTTATCGTGATACAACTGAGACTAACAGTCGGTGATACGTACTGATGTCATCTGTTAATTTATCAAACTAGGCCTGTTTCTATCTACGCTTATGCTAACTGGTATATTTTTATACAACTGGTTTCTTATTGGCTATAAACGTAGTCTATCCATAATTTATGATTCAATGATGTATACTTTAGGATATTCAAAACGCACTTCATATTCTCTTGTTTCGTCCGGTCTGGTTGATAAACGTGTGACCTGTTGAGTTAATTGACTACTAAAAACAATTGATACCAACGCAACTAGTGTTTGGCTTTTTAGATTTCTTGGATGGAATTAAATTTAACTATGTTCCGATAATTAGCATGAGGATTTATGTGTTACAAGGTCGACTTTATGTAGAACACTAACCCACTAGGACTTTTCAGTGTACTGACCTATAAAACCAGTAAACTTTGGACAGCAGTTTCCTTCTAGTATAGAAACTTCTATCAAATTGATTGAGGTCGGAAACGTAAACATGGTGTACTAACTCAGAGTCGTCCAAAGGTTGGGCACTCTCAGCGGAGACAGGGTCGTGCGTTCAACCTCCGTCGAGGTCGTAGATATGCACATATTAACAGACAATTGTCGAATGCTCCCTGGTTTTCAATGATTGTTTAAGTAAGGTCAGTACGTGATGTAACCCACAGGAAAGATGAGTGAATCGATTATATTAGAAAAATACTGTACACATAATAAACATGATTATTATGTTTTAAGCCTAGAGTATCTGGTCAGCTAACTTATCTAAACTCTGCTTATCAAGTTATAAACCTATTGCTAAATTATCGAATTCGTTAAAAAACAATCATTTTTCTACAAATTAACTCAATAGACTTTATGCATCTAGCTAGAGCTATGAAATGTAACTAAACTTAATTATAATTATATTGGTCATTGTAGGCCTTCATACAGACACAATTTAACGTCATATTTTCAAGTGGATATAATGTCAAGCAGTTACACATCATTTTTTTACTGACTGCTCTGTAAAAACTTCTAGTTATTATCTAACAACCGCTTATCCGTTCAATGGGTGCTTATCTGTAAAATTCCATAGTAACGTATGGTTGATACTGAACTACGCTATTTCTTATCTCCATACAAATAACCTTCAAGCTTTTCTATAGGTCCTCACCCTGACCTACGTTGTCTTCTTTTGTACGTGTAGGTTAAATGAAATCATATCATTCTATGAAGTTGCTAACATCTATAGGTCCAAGCTTTCTTATTATGGTTCGTGTATTACTCCTAATCTGCAGTTAGAGAAATCGAGAGGTTATGGAGCAAAATCAGCCAAAGTGTAGATGCATTAATTCTCTCTGTTCTAAATCTTCACATGATAACGACTAAGTGACTAATCCTTTCAAAATCGTTTCGTCAGAAAGTAAGCAGGTTTACTATAGACAAACTTTTAATCTGAGATTTAAAGAACAAAAAACATGGAAACAAAAATATTTTTCCGATTTTCAGTACAAGTCATACATGTATAAAAAAAAATGACAAAATAATGTTATCATCGTCACAATAGACAATTATAAAAAGGGTAAGATATAATTGTGTGTAATAAATATCTGATAAATAATGTAGATAAATCTTTAACGAAAGAGATATTTCTCTAATATACTTATAGGATATTCAGTTGTCATTGATAGGATATACGCTACGATATAACTGAATACAGTTGTTGAAGCTGTTAAACGAACCTGAAAATAAACGGATATTATTATTAATTTTATTATTAGTGTTGTTCACATAACATGTATGATACATTCGATGATGTGCTTCATGAGGTGGGTAGTTTAATTATTAATAAGATTTACTGCACCAAAAAAGTAGTATTCATAATGGATTGACTCAGGTCAGAGTATGAATCTTCTTTAAATATGTTTACCTGATCTGAATAGTAATTTTTTCCTCACTTCAAAAAAAATCATAATGATTGCTATAACAGAGCAAATATTGAGTAAAGTTAAACCTTGAGGACTGTTCTTTACCTGAAGTTAATGTTTGTTCACGGATCCTTAAAAAATATAAAAACAATTAAGCCAATTTACAATTTTGTTATGTTAGTACCAAATACTTGAATTACTGTGTCTTTGTATTTCTTTAGATGTTTCTTTTATCGTGATGCATAAATTGTAGTTATGTTGTGTACTTTTCTTGAGTTACTGTTAACTTAATACTGACCTATTATTCAGTTCTTCTTCCCCTAAAACCTGGTAATGTATACATTTTATTTCCTGTTGCTGTGATGTCAGACATTTAGCCTCCATTATCATATGAGTTTTAAGTTATGGACTAAAATGTACAACAGAAGTCATCTGCTTGCCGTGTCGTTGTTCTACTCTGTCTACAGGGCAATCGAACATGGGGAACTGAATCATGATAAGTAGATGTGAAGATTATCTCTACCTCACCTCAGTGTTCGTTTCGATAGTCAAGGGATATCACTGATCCAATCTTAGAACACTAGGATATAAACGAAAGAGTAAATTCTGAGGTATAGAGGATTCTCGTTGGGGAATCCAATCAATTGATATCAACTAACGTAATCTCTCATTAATTACAATGATACACATGCTTTAAATACAAATACATTATTTGTAAGTTACATTTATGCAGAATGTTGACTTTCAAGCTATTTGTGAAAACAAGTACTAGGATAATAGTTTTAAGTTTATATCACTAACTAACCTTAGTTAGATAACCAGTGAAAGCAGGGAGTACTGGATAGTTGCTCCGTTCTAGTGCGGAACTTCTCTACAGTACACTTCCACGATAGCGTTGTCGGTCGTATCCAGTACCTCTAGGGCTTCATGGAGAGCAATAAATCTTTAGATCTTTGAGTCAGTATCTAATGGTTTACATTTCTAACACGAATCAATCTGCGATATTACGCGATGATTTTCTAGTGTCATTAGTTTTAATTAGTTGGTTAATTAAAGTCAGCTCATGATATGAACTATTAAACTCAGCAATCTGCACAACCTGTATACTTACTATATACGGCCTATAAAGATTCTTTTGATTCAAGGTGTGCACTTAAACAATTTAGTAAATCAATAAAAGATGAGTTAAATTGTTTGCTAACCACATTTTTAATACTTTCATGTCTTCCTATTATTAAACGAAGGTAACACTAATGAAAATGTCACTTACCTGCACCAAACATCAGTCAAACTCTAGTACAGATACAAATCTGGAATTTCAGTTATGTTAAATCTGCGATGATCATCATCAACCTAATAATCACTAGTTCTATTACTGACCAAGATTATTAATAAGTTATTTAACAAACTGAAATTCACATAGCATAACACATTATGCGAAAATATATTTCGTAGTACCCGTGAGTAATTTTCAAGGTTAAAGCTATTTCAGCGGATCGATTATATTACTAATAAACTTTCAGATTCCAGTTACCAGTCTGTTCAACTAATTGTCAAACCAGTTTATTTTGATACCGCATACTCTTATAAGATAATGTTGCTTTTCTTTAGTAGATATTGGTTATTGAATGGTCTAGTGCTTGAGTAAAAACACTTCTTTGATTATCAGAACTAAATAAAAGTCCCCAGCAGCCAAAATCTACTAACTTAGTGCTAATAGCTTACATTTCATCAGAAAGGTTTAAACAGAATGGATAGTGGCCAATGGCGGAATCCAGGATTTATGTTTGGTTTTACTTGTGACTCGTTAGTTGGTTATCTCTGTACCCCAATATTGACGTCCACACAGTGAATTAAACACGGTATATTTCACTTCAAACACCTAAAGGATTATTCATTATCTGAAGAAGCTGCGTTTGAGTTTCTTTTTCAATATAAACATTTAGGGTGCAGAGGAATCCAGCTAAGGGGTCCCATATAGGATGAAACGTCAATCCTCGATTTCGCCACCAGCCACTATCAAATTTAGCTTGAAACTGCTTGTGATTTAATTGCGTTATCGAAACAGTTTTTTCAAGATGCTCATACACCGAAAGAGGACGATCAATTTTAGCCCTTAACATGAATAATAGAAATATCCAAACCCTTACACGTGGTTTTCAAAAAAAATTGTTTTCTTTAGACTCATTAACTAAACAATCACCTCACCAAATGACTAACTTAATTATTATCATCAAAGAATTCAAATGATTTCACTTCAGAGTGCCTACTTAGTTATACTTTTTAAGTTGGATCATCTGATTTAAAAACACCAACATATTTTAAAGTAACTTTACTAACTTTTCTCTTATTTTGTAATGACCTTTACCTTTAAACAATGGAAATACTACAGTATAAAATTTTTAGAATGCCATCTTGTAGAAATTAATGCTAAATGAATAAATATCATTCAACTATATCATTCAACAAATAATCTAGACTATTTTATGATAAACATTTGTTAATAATACAGGTTATTCATATTAAATCGAACAAATAAAACTTAAAAGATCATGTGGTGATAAAGCTTTATATGTACTTCTATTACTATTCTCTGGAAAGGTTTAACGCTTTTAAACGGCTGGCCGATAGAGAAAAAATATGTAGGTTTGTGTCTAAAACATCAGAATTTCAATCTTTTGAATTTTATATTCGAATGATCAATCCAAATTATTCAGTTAGTGTGATATCTTAACGAAGACTAAATAAATAGTAATGGCGAGACTTGAATTAATGGACGAACCACTCAGATTTAATATAACAGGTATTTGATGAAATTGGCATGAAATTCATTCATCCATTTTGTTAAATAGAGTTTCTGCATTACAGTTTATTATGAAAACTTTAAATCTATTTCCTAACCTTAACCATCATCAGTAAATCATAATTCCAATTCCCAACACTGGTTTATAATCCTCATTTGGTCGTAGTTATTAGTCGGACACTCTCAGGGTCAGTCTACCTTCGCCCAAAGGTCGTCCATAAATTATAGTCTCGCCGAATATATATATATTTGCATTTCTCTTATTATAAAATTTCATTTGATATATTGACTACTATTATACGATTAACTATTCTTAATTTATTTCCAATCTATTAGTTACAGTCTTTCACATATTCACAGTTGCTTTCGGCTAGATCTTTTATAATCGTTATTTTGTATTTTATGGTATCATGAGGTCTGATTTGCTTGTATATAAACTACATATGTCTGAAATACGTGATTTATACAGCAGAAGCTGAGATTGTGTTTTGGATTCAACAGGGAGGGCTATGTGAGAAGAAATAATAAAAACTCAGAGTAGACTCTAGGCTGCTCGTGCTGGTTAACGCATCATTGGTTCGACACAGGGCTGAGGTCGTATAAGTCGGTGTTCTGATTGACGATCTTGTCAGGTCCAAAGTCATACCAGTTAGTGTGGTGGAATAATTCCAATATTATCTCATATGAAGCTACTTCTCGAGGACATTGATGCGAATAATTGTTTTATTCTTTTGTAAATGTTCTGAACAAATAGTTTCGACTACTGATCGATGACGAAAATGAATATTCACAATTAACCTCCACTACTTTTATAGAAATATCACTGAACTTTCGAAATTTTGACATCAGATATCTAAATAAGGAAAACACGATCCAACCTCGAGTTTATAAAATTGCATGAAACTTCGAATATCACACTTGTCAGTACAGCTAGTTGTTTAAATAGTCCAGTTAAATGTCGATTAGCATTTGGCACTATTGAGATAGTTTTTATTTACTAATTCAAACTAATTTTTAGTAAAATAGAGTAGAGAACTAAATTCTCTTGAAATAGATTCCAGACTTCTTGAACTCTTCAATAATCTTGTTATTGGTTGAGATCATGAATTAATTGATGTTAGACCACCGTTGGAAACCTGGAAGCACTGGACGGCCGTTTCGTCCCAGTATGGGACTCCTCAGCAGTGCGCATCAACGACCCCGCAACCCGCGGGATTCGAACCCAGGACCTACTGGCTTCGCGCCTGAGCACTTAACCATTAGACCACTGAGCCGGCATCCATTGGTGTTAGTGTCCCATACTAGGACGAAACGGCCGTCCAGTGCTTCCAGGTTTCCAACGGTGGTCTAACATCAATTAATTCATGATTTCAACCAAAAAACTTAACAATCTCCACAACCCCATACTGATAATTAACATGTGCTCACTAGTGACTAGCTTCGTGAGGGAATTCTCGGAGTTCTAGTGAGAAGTCGTGACCAGTGGAGCTAATCCGTGTCGGGTAGAGACAGGTATCTACCTCAGTACAATGGAAAGTGGTCGCGCAATTTCGTGGATTGGTTGATGTTAGACACTAACACCATTGGATGCCGGCTCAGTGGTCTAATGGTTAAGTGCTCAGGCGCGAAGCCAGTAGGTCCTGGGTTCGGATCCCGCGGGTTGCGGGGTCGTTGATGCGCACTGCTGAGGAGTCCCATACTAGAACGAAACGGCCGTCCAGTGCTTCCAGGTTTCCAACGGTGGTCTAACATCAATTAATTCATGATCTCAACCAAAAACTTAACAATCTCCACAACCCCCATACTGATAATCTTGTTATTACTGAACAGGCGAATCTGTCAGTAATCTGTTTTTCAATTTTAAATTCATCTACTACTACTACTGTGGTGTGTATTACTTATGTTGACAGACATAAGTAGTATGTAACACCGATCAGAAGTGAAAAACCTGGCAGCAGTAGGCTGTGAAGGTCGGCTTGAAGAAAACAGAAACGGAATTAGAAAGGAATGTATTTAATGTATGGTTCTTATATTTTACCAAAAAATCCTGTGATTGTTCATTAGGATACGTTTTATTGTCATTTTTTGTGTTCGCGCTCATTACACTGCTTATATTACGGACAATGTTTTTCCTCAAATTTCAATTTCAGTTAGGACAAAGTTTCCTTTCCAAATTTATCGAAATTGACTCGAATCAACAAAATGATCTACTGGATTTACCACATCCATAATTATTATGACCATTCTTTCTCAGTAAATCTAATTAAATCACAACTATTCCACTTAGTTACACCTTAAATGATATTATTATGACCATGCTACATTTTATTAAAAGATAATCGGTAAAATATATACTGTTTTATTGAACCACTTCACTTACAACCTCCAATTGATCTATGATAAATGGAGTTTGTGCACCATTAATGAATATTATAACAAGGATAGGATGAATTAAGTAAGCGTTATAAGTAAGACGAGCTGGTACACGAAATCCAGACCATGCAAACAGATTGTTAATAGGCTCTGGTAAAAAAAAATTAATCAGAAAAATCAATAAATTTGTATTTGACTAATATTTAAGCTGAAAAAAATAACTATCATCCAAATATTGATCATTAAATTCTTATCGTCTAACATGGTATTAAAAAGTTATGTTTGATAATTTGATCTTGAATTCAATGGTTGGTTAATTATTTGTAAGTAAACTGATGTCTATCCATTTTTTGGTTTTATTCAGTACGTGCAACATTTAAGCTTAATTCTTTTTATCATTGTGACGAACGATAAGAAATAAATTGGGATTTTCAACATTTTAGTATTCAACGTTTTATAATAGATCTGGGAAAATGGACAGATTTCTTGCCGATGTCATACCGACATAGCCTCATACACTGATGTTGGGGTAGACATGTTTACTGTTCTTTCAGTTGGCTTTTACATTTTTGTAGATTTCTAACCAAGGTTTTATTACATAGCTGGAAATTCCCTTAGAAATGAACAGATTGGCTGTAGTGGGTTTTGTTATGTTGAGTGGTATTCAGATCTTTGATACTGTGTGATAAATGTTTACTGTGCGCTATTCCAACCAGCTACTTGAATGGGAAGGAGTAAGAAAGTGGATTAGCTAGTTAAATCATATTATATACACGAACTCGATCATTAATAAAGATATGCACTGCTCAGAAACCTAATCTGTAGTTTAAATCAATAGTGCATATCTGTCTTCATTGGAGAATTAAGACAAATCTTGGTCATTAGCGTCCATTCGTCAGCATTTCTCGCCTATCATTTGACTTTGAATTAATTTATCTGACTGACACGGTCTATCAGGTGCCAAACACTTAAGTTTCAATTTAAGCACTGACAATTCGGATGTTTATTGCTAATAAGTAGTAAATCATGGACTAAAATTAAACAACATACTTACTTCCCCATCCTGTTGCACATAAGTAAACTGAAATGCCAATGCCTAAAGTAAACGACACACGATGGAATGCTAAATAAGCGGCTGCTGTTCTATGACTCATCTCAGTCAGTAATCCACTCAATACACCATAGGAAACGAATATTGGTAGAACGAAAAGAAATGCTGCGACTAGGTAACCAATTGATACAATAAAAATCTGATTTCTCCGTGTATTTCTCTTCGATGATACAACATAAAGAAAAAAATATGAAATAGAAAGGAATGGTCAAGGGGATAGTTATTGATCACGTGATCTTATGTTCAGAACTGTTCTAAATGCAATACTTTGATCAATGATCCATTTTAAAAGAGAACTCCTCATCAACACGTACCAGCTATATTGTCGGATGACGACTTCAGGACCTGTAAGTATCACAGTTGGTTGTATTATCTAAGAACCATTGAGTTGAAGTCCGGTGTTTCACATTCCAAACTTCAGTCAGTTTACAATATATATCACGATACTATCCGATTTCATTCATAAAGAATTGTTGAATTCCAGATATGGCGAACTACTTAAGTTACAGTTTCTCAGAAAATTGTTTGGAATTCAACCTAAAGATAGTTATATATAACCATACAGTCGTTGTAAATCATCAAATAATCTCTAAAACTAACAGTTTAAACATATTGTGCTCGTTCTAAAACCCAAAGATCTTAATTTCGATCTCCTATGTGGATCGTAGATGCAAAATGTTTAGAAGCTGTAGTTTAAGACTAAATGAATGACACATGGTTTCTAGTTTTTAGGAGAGAGAATTATTTTCATAGATAATAATTGCTTAGTTAATTAATAACTTACCATTTCAACTCTAGGATAATCATATAATAACCAGCCGGTTAACATTCCAATCATATATGTTCCACAACGTGTATATGGTCTCACATAGATTTCTTCTTTAACTATACTGTTTATAATCAGATGATTTTATTGAAAATAAATTTAGAATGAATAATTAATATGAATGGAGTTTCAAGTCATTATTATTTAAAATTCTGAACGGTTAATGAAATAATTAAAGTAACATTATTAGTAAAGAGGTTTTGTGGAGACCGTTAAATTTTCATTATCTTTATCAGGGACTAATCTTAGTTAGATTTCCAATAAAAAAATCAGGAGGCTCTTGAAAGCCGTTTCATTCTATTATGGAACTTTCCAGTATTGCACATCCAGGACCTTCGATCGGGTGTGTAAACAGTTAACCTCTAAACAAATGGTTCGGAATCCAATAATTTATATTTCCAATTTAAATTGACTCACGGTATTGCTTGACTATTTCTATTACCTGCAGTGGATAACTATCTCGAACCCATCATCTGTCTAATGTTACCTGTTTTTCAATAGTGATCTTACGAAGATCAATTCGTCATGTGAACTTTAAGATAATATTAGCTTAATGCCAAATTTAAGTGTGACAGATCAATAATCAAATCGATTCTACAGGCAAGTGTGATAATGGGATTTCTTTGTTGAAGACTACATCATATTAAATAGTTCTCATTAAGAGGATTCAATTGATTAGCGATCTCATCAATAAGATAGTTAAAAAAGAGCTACTCATTCAATTAAGAGTAGTAAATTGATCAATACATGTTATTTCATTTCTTAACCACAAACCAAATAAATTTGTGTTCGATTTTTGACGTATATTTTATAAGTAAGACGTAAAAACAAATACTGCTGTACAGTAATCATAAGTATGAAAAGAAATAAATTGATTGATTATAAGTTAACTGTATAGCTTAATAGTACTATACATATTGCAACTGAATGGTTATAAATAAAACTGTTATGCACAAATCATGAAAAACTTTTTTTTTCCTAGTCGTTTACTTATTTTTGTTAAGCACTATACTTGCATAGTGAAGCCAATAAATTTAGGGTTCTGTTGTATCCCGGAATCGTCACTGTTATAACCGGAAAATTTGGGTCCATCGGAACTGTTTTAATTGGGTTCCCAACCATTATATCTGGGGAGTCATTTCCGCTATGTATGTATTGACTCCGTTGAGTCAAAAGTCTTACTGTTTTTACTTGACAATCGAGAACCATTGTAATCCCTCGATTCTACTGCAATACCCACGACGCAAAATGAGAACATGAGTGACTGGTTCAATGAATTTTTATTGACTCCCCAAAATTGCATCATCCTTTGACCCCAATACAACCATTTATCTACCACACTTCATAGTACTACGTGGGTGAGGTAACTGTAAAATCATACACAATAAATATAGTTCATCTGAACTAATGTAGGGAATAAAATTGTCACACTCAACGAGAATTCACACTTGTCTTACAGAACAGAATTTTCACTGAAGTGACACAAGAAAATATTAATTTAAAATGTCACACTGAGCTAAGTTTGGACCCTAGCCAAAATTCATAATGACTTGATACAAAAATGTTGACCTAAATAATGTCATCTTATCCGGTCATCTCAAGTTCATGTTTCGAAAATAAGTCACCAATTGAACTATTGATTTAATGGAATTTATTTATCTAGCACTGGTTCATTGATTCAACTTTAGTCACACTTTTCCATGATACAACTCATTATAATCAATAAGGGAGTGCTCAAAATAAAAGATAAAAGATAAGATTTAAATCTGCTGCTCATTGGTTGAAATTACTATATCCACTAGGGAAATAACAAACTGATATTGAAAAATTAGTTTTCATCATCATAAATCAAACTATTTTTCAACAATTTCATGCAATTAGTTCCCTTTATGAATTTAAATAAAACCAGGACGAATATGGATGCTTAAGGTATATCAATGGTATGCCCGGTGACATTCCTCAAGCTTTTAAAATTATTAGCAAAGAAAGAAATATTGCTTCTCTTAGGTTTGCTGAAGCGATTACGATAAAAAAGCTCAAACATGATCTATGTATTCAGAATGATACAGTAATAAACCTATTGCTACCCTGGTAATTCAATGTTTTGGACATTAGTTTTATATTGTTAATGTTTAGCTGGTTATATTTCTCTTTCATTACCGAGTTCTTATCTTATGTACATTTAAACCACCTCACTTCACTTATACATTTCCATCCACTCAATTCTCTTAAATTACGTGAACTCATCAAATCTTGTTTAATTATTACGCAATTCTACGAATCTTATACAAACACTTCATTACCTCTAAAATTATCACACAATGAATCTTATCTGTCCCTGAACTGCACTCAATTATTACATCACCCACCCATCATGTTTCTTGATTCTAACACCAAATGACCTCTGACCGGTTCTTGCACACAGATATATAGTTATTATTAATAACATTTGTCATTCCGATTATGTACATCCACTTATGTCAATTATTTCTCACTATATATTATCTTAATGTAAAATTCGAATACAAGTTTGATTGTAAGCGGCTGATGAGGAACCACGAAATATAATGAATTTATATTATTCTGCATCCATGTTCGTTCTGACTTTATTTATATTCTTCAACATTTCAAGGAGTAAACACAATTTTTCAATTAAGCACTGCACATTCTATTGTGTTGATCGTTTAATATGGACATAAATTCACAAATGAATGTAAGGTATTTATGTTTGCTTGCAATTTTAGAGAAAAACACTAGTTTTTAAAGCTAAGTAGATTGAGTTCTTCATTCAGTGTATATATAAAGACTAGTCTAGTCTACTATTACAACCATTTGGTGAGTTATGAATATAATTTTCTTATTGTTCTGGATTCTAAATACATTTTTCAAAAGCTGACATTCCATAATATCAAGAGTAATGATTTGACAGAATTTGTGCAAAATTTTAGTATATCGATGGAGGAATCTACCAATTTAGTCTACGAGACTACTGCGTATTAATGAATTATAATCGATTCATAGTTTAACTTTTTCTGTTACATATAAGTAGCTACTAAACAATAGAATGAGTTTCTTGTATCTTCTTCACTACATCAGTATTTACAGCTATCTAGTGTAAAAACACTTGAGAATTCTTCTGATAGTGATATTCGTAATAATTTCTGTTTAACTGAGATATTTGTTATTGATGAAACTAGTGGTCTTGATTGGTCAGCCTAGTAATAATGATATGTTCGACAAATTTTAGAACAGTGTACGTATGTTATCTGTCTGTGATAGAGTGTGTGTAACATTATGAAGTAATACATCACAAAACCCCTGATTGCCTTGCCTCTACTATTCCTGTTTGTTGTTAGTGAGTGGCCAGCACGTTGTTTTAATTATTGAACAAATCATAGTTTATCGGTTCGCAAATTCCATTTTTGTTGTTGTAGTATTACGATAGTAATCGTGCAATAAAACTGTAGTTGTGTAGTGTTCAAAGTACTTGACTTTGACTTCTCGAATAGGGTCATTGAGCAATTAGTGTTTCGTACCATAGAATTTCTTCAATACATGTATGTGCTTAATATGCCTACCTGTAAGTCGGAAATAGCTAAACAGTGTTGAGTTATCTTCTATCCTCCTGTCATATTGACTAGTTCAGGAGTGCAGATAATTTTTGATTTATTCACACCGAGACACTTTATTTCACTATCAAGTTATTTATCTTAGCAGATATCGCAGACTAACAGTCTTCACATTCAGGATCCTAGTGTGGTCATTCACATGACCTCACCTCGCCAAAACGGAGAGCCGACGAGATACGCCGTCTGTGTAACTGGCGACCCGATGGCTAGTTCTCGTGACCTGACAGGTGTAGGCATATCACAAAGCACAAGGGCGGAACAAGCACTATTATCGTGGATCCCGTTAACAGTCGTTGATGTGCTGTTCGGCCAAACTGCTCCTTATGAACTCGGGAGGATAGGAACACACGTCGCCGCCCTTTCGTCGTTTTTGCCTACGCTCCCACTGACTGCAGCTCGGATGAAGTGAAAGATGAAATACGTAATAGTGGTGCGGAGCTGTTACTTTGAAAAACACTTCTCGACCTTGAATATGTGAATGATATTGTCTTACTGTGCGCTGATATTCAAGCTATCCAAATCTCACTTGATCACTTGAAAATCAGTGTCCAAAAGTGTAATGTATATGCTTTGCATCTCCTGGGTGCAAAGTACTTTCATAAGACTGTCAGGAGCATGTACTTGGACGTATTGTCAGTAATGAGCAGTTAAAAGTATTCGAGAAGTTCGAAGAATTGGTGATACTCAGTGGCAATACCATGTTAGAATGCTGTGTTCGACAATGTGCACTCGGGAATTCCACATGTTTCATTATTTGCCGATACTGTAAGTGGTTGGTAAAAGCAGAGATGTGGTCAGTTTATGACACAATACTGTGACTGGAATCCATTGGTCCGTGTTGACTCTGTTTTGGGGAAGTAGATATTATGCAACTCAACGGCTTACGTTGTTATCATACATAGTTCAGAACAGAAGCCACAGTGGCAGTGTTGCTGTAATTTTCTTTTACATTCTTCATAGCCCTCAAATGCCCTGGTACGGCCGAGTGTGGGGAAATTCCGCTCTCCCTCTCGGAACGCTCTCACATAGCCACATGTATGCAAACACTGCCAGGAAAGTCCTATGTACTGCCTTCTCGTGGCGGGGATGTTGTTTACGAGACTGAAAGAACAAAAAGCGAACGTCAGTAACTCTAATCGGTTTTGTGGACAAGGAATATCCATCTGGGGAGTTGGAAAACCCTGATTCCAAACCAACGGTGTACATGAACTTTAAGATCTTGAAGGAACAAATGGAGTATGAACCAATAGTTGGTCACCATCTACCATGGGACCGCATCTCTTGACTTTACCCCACTGCCTCGCGGTTCAGACCTTTAGTTTGAAGGCTCCGGGTGTGGCCGCATGAGAAGACTACCTGCTTCGATTTGGTCACACGGGCAGTATCATAAATCACACACAAATCAAGTGACTTGTGTGGCGTTTGTGTATTTGGTGCCCCCTTGTACCAATATATGTGTGTTCAAATAAATAAAATACATTCTTCATTAGAGTAAGAGCGTCTTCTTCAACCGTAAGAATTCTTCCGGTTATATTTTTTAAAACTGGATTATGTCTCCTATTATTTAATATCGTCTATATGATTTTGATATGATGGAGAAGATTTGTAGCTCAGATGGATGATTTTGGAGTTTTGTTCTCTGAGCTGGATGGTTTGGTCGTAGAGCTTTCGTTGTTCTTCAGGTTAAAGTCTGTCTGAAGGTTTGCTGATGATGTCGTTCAGAAGAACTATGAAAGCTCCACGGTCAGATCATCCAGTTCAGATAACAAAACTCCATCAAAAACGTATCTCGTCCACTTATTCTTATTGATTAATTGCCTTTTTTAAAATCATACTCACCTTTCTTCTATCTCTTCACGACCTCATTTCTTTACTGTGTGTTAAATATTGATTCTGATGTTCTTTTGCACCAATATTTATGTGCTTAGCAAATTAAGGAATCCTACTCAACAACGTTTACATAATAGTTTAACTGTTTATAGGATAAACAATAGAAACTTACTCCATAATTTCAAATGAATGAATATAGGCAGTGAAATAAGTGATTAATGAAGATAATAGAATAAATGAAAGAGCGAATAGAATTCCAGTTATTCGTTTCCTAGAAAAAAAAGTAATAATAAATCTATTTGGGTTTATATTTTGTGATTAATTTATTATACAGACTGATATAGTATTGATATTTTCAATAATTCCATATGCATTCAATGAGACTATATTTTATGGACAACCTTCGAGTAATCCTTAAGTTACCTTTGGAATGTCTATGTACTTACTAAAATTATGAATTCGTTTAAGGAATTAGAATAGGGATATACAGTTGGACATTAGGGTTTAACAATTAGAGTTAGGATTCTCAACACATCAGCTATAATTTTAAAATGATATAGATGAATAAATTTCAAGTTGGCATCCAAGACTTGTCATCTTAAATTTGATTGGTTTGTCCATATGTTATAATCCCACCAATCATTTGTATAATATTTGTTTTCAAAATAAAATGTTGACAGTTCCAGTTACTAGCTGTATGATAAAATGTTTATGAGATTCTTTAACATTCATTTATAATGATCAGCTCATCAGCTAGTTTAATGCTTTCTCAATGGAAACCACATGTAATTTAGCCCATAGTAAATAAATTATATTCAAATTGAATGATAGCCTTCTTTTTAAATAAGTTTTTTTTCAAAGAGTCGATGATTTCCAATATCAATGATTTATTTATGTCAAGCTATACTACATTGACTATGCTGATAGCAAACGTTCTGTATCAGGTTGTATTAGTTGATATCTAAGACTGTACTTCAGAGTTATTCATACTTAAATATTCCGTTTTATTTTCATGTTAATTCTTAGTAATTTCAGGATATATTTTATTCACTTTGATATAGTATATATCATAAGTGTTTAGGCAGATGAATCATTGGTGTTTGTTCAAGTAGCTTAGATTATTGGACAAAACCATTGGAGATGGGCAGATTACGTATTTGTCTTTAGTGTGGTTGTATCTCTAAACTGGGTAATTTATTTTTGTGGATAACATCATTAGTGCCTAATTTATGCAGAAGTGAGAAATCTTTTATTTTGTAAGTGTCAAATTTATACATTTTGATGACGTTTCTTATTCTCGTTGCTTTGTTCATCTTCGTTTGTCTTCAAATTCTCGTTCAAAGTTTCATTTGTGTGACATTGGACTGAGTGATTCATTAACATTTTCCATACTAATTAGTAACTTAGAACCACGCTGATATTGTCTAGTCGTTAAACGCTAAATAAAACGCTAATTTATGTATATATTAAGGTTTATAACGTCTATTTCGTCCAATGCAGTATCCTTATCAGTTTGTACAATTTATTTTGTGAATGACATTAAGTTTGTGTTCCTCTGTTGTTACGTCCTCATTTGCATGAATCGTAGTGGAGCTGTTGTATATCATATTTATGGAAGAAACGTTTGGTCATAACTGACTTACAGTAGTATATAATTTGTCTTTGAATATTGTGTCTATCAATCTTATTAACATACAATCTGTTTTACTCAGGAATCCTGCACCAGAACATCAGAGTTTGCTGCAATACAATCATTAGGTTGTGACAAACAGGTATATATATATATATATATATATATATATATATATATAGGTTTATTATTGACGCATAAGTGGCATTACTTATTCTATAAAGTATTTTCGGTCAGTCGGTCAGGGGTCCACCTTCCGTCATCTATTCAGCTCGGTTTTTAAGATTGGTTCTCTGAGTAAATCATACGTTTTGTCACCTCAGTTCATTTAGTATTTTATCAATCAATAGTATTGTCATAACAACATTTTCTAGAAACATGCATTTTATCATGTTCCCATTGTGAAGCTATCTAATTAGCATATTATCTCTTGAATATTTTTTGCCACTGATATGGTAAAGTTTGATATTGAACTAAATTGGTGTTTCCATTATAGAGAAATCTAACTAATAAACCCTTAAAATGTTGGAAGTAATAGGGAACGTTTTCATTATAACGTGATACTACTTATAAGTACCCAGCCACCTCAACTTCTTTAGATAAAAATAAAATGGTCCCACGATTAGATGGCAAGTCAAATTTGAATAGTCAACATAACCATTTGTAGTCAGTTAAGAGTAATCAATGTCGACTCTGTAATCTTCCATACTTAACATTCCTAAACGTTAGTTAACAAGGATTCTTTCTAAAACTTCTTCATTTCATCCAAAAGATATTCATTGGTAATTATTACCAGTCAAGATATATGCATCTGTCAATAGAATGGATGTCTCTTTGTGAAATGTCGAAAGCAATACAAGATTTTGAGCAACACTATGATTTTTGAAAATAGAATTTATGAAATGTGCATATAAATGAAAACCATCTATGAAGTCATTTGTTTCTGTATTCTGAAGACAATATTATTTACTGTGAAAATATTTATTTGTAAAGGATCTTTCAAAAGAATCACTTCGGGATCCTGACGACGTAAAATTTTGATTTTATCAGCATAATGAAGAATAAGAAATTATAATATATTACAAAATCCAAAGCGACAAAGATGTGAAGAGGCTAATTCCTCTATGACTGACTCCACTAAGTAGCATCCCGTTAATTGAATATCTACACAGACCAAATCTCCTAGTAATATTATGAGTTTACTCTAGATTATTCAAAAGTCAGAACACCAGTTGTAGAGATAGTCCATTGTTAATAATTGATAAAATCCGTATGCATGCAGAAAATAAGCACATAGGGAAACGAATGTGAGAGAGTGAAGAGAACGAAACGAAAAAGATCAGAGAACGCATGTTAACCAACTCGATTCAACCAAGCTTGAATCGATATTTATAGTCGAACAAAAATAAGTTACAGACACATAACGAGTAACGTAAGTAATTAGCACACATACGTGATCATACAAAAAATCGTCAAGACTAATAACTGAATAAGTGACTGGGTAAAAATGTGGCTTGAGAGGAATGAATAAATTGGTCTGTTCATAAGCTAGAATAACTTATGTGGACTCGGTTTAGTATCAGCCCCGACAAATGAATTTTCTACATTCTACCCGATATCTCAGTGTTTTCATGCATTTATCAAATACACTCAGCTTTCGGATTGTTTAATCTCATCATTTACTGAAAATACATAGATCATTTAATATCTTATGGCATACGTTTAATTTCAGTTGAAATTTAATTTTGCTCTATTCTACTATTAGCTTGAACATTTCATCTACTATATTTCAATAGAAAACGAAGCCACATACGGTATAAATGACTCAGAATTTACTATTTCTTCCTACAGATAAGGTTTCAACTCTTATCAGATTTAAAAAAAACTACTTCCCTCCTTTTTATTTACTAAGACAACGGTGAATAGAAGTTAGCCATATGACTAGGTCTTAACTAGTCAAGTATGCGTTAACAATACCATATAATTAAATCAATCACTAATAATACACAAATAAAAGAATATTTTCTCGGCTAAATTTTGTTTTCATTTATGAATAGTAGTTTCATATGTTATGTCAGTTAATCAATCATAGAAACGTTTTGGAGGAAAATTTTTTATCAATAATAATAGGACGTCGAATGCTTCCAGGTTTTCAATAGGGATCTAGTTTAATATTGATCAGTTCATAATCTTAATTCAAACTCAACAATCTTCACAACCCTATATTGATAATAATTATTTTGTTTTCTATTTAAAATCATTTATTCAACTTACCACATAAGTAAAGTTATAAAAATTGGAGCCAAAATTACAGTGAATTGTATATCATTTGCAATATACCACGACCATTGTAAACACTGAAAAAAAGTGGAATTCATAAGCAACTGAGGAGATCTATGTATTATGATAATTTTGATAGATGTGACGAAGAATATAACTTTCTTGCTTTGGTAATTCTCACAGATAAAATCTATTCTGTATTTACTGGTCATATTGTTTGGTATGTAGTCAATAATCATGCACATTTACGTGTGTTACACCACATAGATATGAGTATTGTATAGGTAAGATATGAAGTAATGATAAAGTATTTCTGAACTGAATTATGTTCTAGTTACAATAAATATTAGTGAAATTACCCAGACATTTTCATCTTGCTATGCTAACGAGTTGTGACGTCTTGAACTGATGTACACATATATATTATTTACGACTAACTTGAAACTGGATACATAAATAAATGATTAGCAAACTGAAACCTTTATTTAAATAATCTTCTAACACTCATTAGTAATCTGATTCCTTTACAGGTAACTTTTTACAGTTTCAGTGTTAGAAAAAATGGGAAATATAAACTTCTATAGAGAAAGGTTTGAAAATATCTGCTAACGAATCGTTCATACTACTTAAGGATAATTTTGAGATTTAAATTATCTTCTAAAGAAATTAGTAATTGAAATTTAACAGCTTTGATATGAAACAGTAAAATAATATGGGTGGTGAACAAATGTTCTACATTACCAGTGATCGAAATCAGCAAAGCTTGACTGTACTACTTGTTATTAATACTGAAATGGCTAGTACTACCGTAACAATGGTTCTTTCAAATTATTTAACATTTGTATGTCATGGACATTTACCATTATAGTTGCCTATTTGGAATTTTAATTCGAAATCTGACATAAGGGACCGACTCTGGCTAGAAAATCAGGTAGAACTAGGAAGCACTGGACAGCTGCTTCACTCTTGTATGGGACTGCTCGGAAGTAAGCATTCACAAACCGGCTAGATATCGAACCAGGGATCATCAGATTAATCATTAAAACATAGGGAATTTTGAAAGCCAATACATCATTGGATGCCGGCTCAGTGGTCTAATGGTTAAGTGCTCGCGCGCGAAGCCAGTAGGTCCTGGGTTCGAGCCCCGCGTGGTGCGGGATCGTGGATGCGCACTGCTGAGGAGTCCCATACTAGGACGAAACGGCCGTCCAGTGCTTCCAGGTTTTCAATGGTGGTCTAGCTTCAACTGACTCATGATTTCAATTTGTGAAAATTTCTAAAAATCTCCACAAACCCCTTCTGACAATACAGTTGTACACTGAAAAGACTTTGGAATTAGTCATTCATGAAAATCATTTTCGTTATTTTCATAAACATAGTACGCTATATCATTAAAATTACGCGACTAAGCCATTTACATTTAATTTAACTAAACTGTGTTGATGTAACAATAATAATAACCGTGTGCTAATTGATAATTACTTTCGGGATGTAGTTACTGAAGTTCTAGTTAAAAGTAGAGTCCAGAGGAGTTCAACCATGTTGGGTGTGAGATAATCACTCACTAATAGTACTGCACTTACATTTATTACAGCCTGAAACGCAAACTATTGGATGCCGGTCAAGTGGTATTAAGGTTAAACCACCAGACCTGAATGTTTTAGCTTCAATTTTTTGAGGAGTGAAAAGTTAACACTGCTGAAGAGTACTGTACAGTAACAAAAAACCTCTCAATTTCTCCATGACTTTCAATGGTTGTTTTTTTTTTTACTAAAGTTAATCAATGATGTAAGCTACAGAGATATTTATTTCGACTGGCTTTCTATTTCATTTTTCTCTGTTAGTTCGTTGGACGTAACCGAAAGGATACTCTAGAATTATATTTCTTTCTAATCCTCATGTTTTAACATTCTTAAAGGAACTAATACTCTTTTTTAGAAATTGGACCTGTATCAGAGATTGTTGCAATCAGAGATATTGATTTAACCGAATAATCTCTTGTAGAAATGAGTTGTATACATTAACTGACCAATAAATCTAAACCAAAACCTCATTGTCTGGTTCTTACTACTAAGCCAATTGTTTAAATAGATCACAATTATATATATATATATATATATATATATATATATATATATATATATATATTGGTGACTTACACTATTCTGAAAATCGACTACATTAGTTAAATAAAAGAAATACCAATGTTTTCGACAATTCTCTATTACTGGTGAATGTATATCTTGAGGAAAAAATGGTCCATCGTATATATGATTTAATAAACCCGTAAAGAAGATAACTGTAACAAGGTAAGCTGGAGTAAGTCTAAGTTGAATAATAAAATGACAAAGATATAATTTATAGGCAAGTAAAATGTATCATTAAATTTCTATTTAGATTGTAAATAATTTAAAAGAAAAAAATGTGAATAACATTTCAATTATTATGGCGCAAGTGCATCCACTCTTTGTGTTCTCCCATATTTTAATCTTCTGAATTCTTCATGTCCCTTATTTTCTCTCCAAACTTATTTCTCTGTATTATACTCCGTGAATAACATCTTCAAGCCCTAATGTTTCCGATTACTGCTTATACTCTTACTACCTCTACCACTACGGAATTTGAATCGACAACTGCATTACTGTGCTAATGTGGTTTGGCAACTCGAACTAATGCACGTACGTACGAAGTTCTACGTTGTTACTGACTGACTGATTTTATTAAATCCATTATGGTATTTCATATAATTTTGATTAGGTAACTTCTAATATTACTAAAGATATACTTATCATAAGTCAAATTAAACTAAACTCACATAAGACTGGAGTTTATCTGTTGAAGTGATTGTGAAATTAATCAATGAAAAAGTAATGATTTGCTATCAGGTATATTAATGTATCAAAATACCTATATATGTTGATTTTATTGAGTAAAATATATTAGATGATTTTATTGAATAGTTTCCATTGTCGTTCTGGAGTAGATTATTAGCTCCAACCATTATCCATCTGAGAAAAACTGATAATATTGAAAGGATCTATTTCAGTTGTAAATCTTCTTTATCATTTCAAATACATGTATGTTTATTCGAAATTAATCAGTAAAATCATATGTACGAAATAATGACGTAATAATTCAATCGAGTTTAAAATACTGATACCCCAAAGATAGCTCTCATACAATTTTTCGGAAAATAAAAACTTCTAATTTTAAGGTTTGTAATACGTCCAACAATTTATGATTGATTGATCACCGATTAGTGACCAATATCGTGTATCTCAAGTCCTTCTTAAGTTGACATTAATTAGCTGTAAATACATTGTAGTTCTACAGGATGTCATTCAACGTTCATATGGCTCACTGGTAATGTCTATGACTGTAAAACTGGGTGACTTGGGATTGAATTTGTAATGGTGTATCAGTTCTCTTGATATTATTGATGTTTGAGTAATGTGAAACTTATGTTAAGCAGGGTCTCCTGTCGACTAATAAGCATATTGCTCTTTTTAAAAGAGAGCTCGTAAGTAATTTTAGCTGGAAGAAGAATGTACACATTATATAAAACATTTTTAATTGGATAATTCTATGTAATCAAGTTAATATTGAGCATTTAATATGATGTATTTCATTAAGTTGATAGTAAACGAATTATTGATAATCGTTCTGATTTCTTTTGATCGATTAATTGATAAAAAAATTAGTTAATTTAGAGGATGGATTAGCTCTTCAATATCAGATAATATTTTTGCGATAATATCATTACTTTGGTAACATCTTGACAAAACGGCCGTTCAATGCTTCTAGGTTTCCCATGGTGACTTAGCTTAAATTGACTCATGAATTTAATCATTAAATTATTAAAATCTTCACAAAACCACCTTCTGAAAATACTTATCATCTGCTCACTATTGACTGGTTTCAAGAGGCATTTCCTGGGGTTCTAGTGAGAAGCAGTTACCAGTGGAGTTCAACCAGGTCTGTTGTGAGATAGTAACTCCCTGAAAATAATGATTGACGGTGGCTCAACTTCGTGGATTAGTTGAAGTTAGACAATAACACGGTTGGATGATGGCTCAGCGGTTTAGTGGTTAAGCGTTCGCGCGAGAACGATAGGTTCTGGGTTCTAATCCCTCGGGTGGGATCGTGGGTGCGCAGTGCTGAGATGTCCCATCCTATGACGAAACGCCCGTTTTCCATGATGATCTAACTTTAATTGACTCATGAATTCAACTATTAGATTACTAAAGTCGCCACAAAACCTCCTTCCGATAATAAACATTTTGAAGTGACTAGACCTGATATAAAGAAAACAATACAGAATTTTAAGAGAACCGAATTTACTGTTCATACAAAGAAGGAAAGAAATTATCACTTAACTGATAAATAATGAAAAAACATGTAAATGAAATTTACACAATAATTACTGACAGATACTTCTTTTCTGTCTTTCATAAAAAATGAATTTTGTCAATTCATGATTACATTAATGAGTTTTCATTTCAAAACTATGTGATACGTCATTTCGATTCAACTCATAGTAAAGATTTTAGTATGGGGTTATTTCTCAACCCCTGACCAATTAATTACATGTTCACGCTGTTATATCCGAATGAAGAATAAATGAATGGTAATTGCTAGTAATTATTTATGGACTGTTATTATACAGACATTCTTATTGTATAACTATTATACATGATTCATATAGCGGAAGCTGCGATTGTGTTCTGGATTTAACGGGTAGGGCTAGGTGATAAGAACCAATATGGGCTCAGAGTGAACTCTGGGCTGCTCGTGCTGGTTAACGCATCATTGATTCGACATAGGGTCAATGTCGTATAAACCGGTGTTCTGATTGGCGATCTTGTTAGGTGATAATTGTCAGGGAAAAATTCATAACATACATTAAGGAGAAAGAATGTGTTTAAAAAATCACAGCGAATAAATTTGAAGTACATCAAACGTTTCGCCTAGTAATCTAGTTCAAACTTTTTCAAGGAATTATAATCAGACATCAAAATAATCGAATATGTTCGATAATTTTGATTTTAAAAATACATTCTTTCTCCTTATTGTTTCATATCATCTCGATCAAATTTAGACGAAAGTTCTTATATTCATAACTTACGTGTTCTATAATTGTGAATCTTTGTAAATTGTTTATTTAGATTTTTTCACTACTCATAATTATGTTTTTGTTTTTAAATCACAATTAATTGTGCGTCTAGTCTTTATTAGTGCAGATCGAATGCTATCGACCATGTTGCAATGTGGCCAAGAGCCTAGGTGACTCGACACTGCGGGCACTATTGTGAGATTAGATGGTGCTTGGAGGTAGTCGACAGGAAACCCTGGGCCCGGGTTTCGTGCTACTTGGCACTCACCAGCAAGGTGTACCTGTAATCTTGAGGGAACTAGTAATCCCTGGCGGATTCGATTTCGTGTCACCCAGATTCACAGTCAGAGACGTTGCCACTGAGCTATCCGAGCCGCGACCGACCTCCAGTAGGACTGAGATGTAATCACAATTGATTGTTTATCATTTACTGAATGAGTAAATAACCTTCTAGTATAATTTAAATTCCATCACCGTCTCTATGAATGTTTAGAACCAATTTAAGAAATTAACTATCTTACCTGATAAAGCGATGTACGATTAACATTAACCAAAATTTCATATAGTTTTTTACACCATTTACATTTGTGATTCGTCCCATACATAAATAACATATTAATAAACCCCTGAATAAAATTTTTTTAAATTACTATAATTAATAGTTCCATAAATTATGAATAATAAAGTAGTTGATTATAAGTAAATGAATGAACAGTTAAAAGGGATACTTAATTAGGTAGTCTGTGAATGGAACAGTATAAAGGAGTTGTAGATTAGAATGAAATATAGGTATAGTGATTTTTGGTTAATTCAGTAGTTCTTCAGATAATCTCGCTTGTTTATCACAAATATATCTACTCTTCAGATTAGTTAATTACTTCGATTCGCAGTTATATAGTATACCCTTGTGGGTCAGGGTAATTTTACATTGGTTTTCAGGAGAACCAGACACCATCCGGACTTTCACGTGACAACCCAAACAGTACAGCTCAATCCCGTTTAACAGGAGAACCAGATACTGTATAGGCTTTAACGCTACAATCTGAATAGTACAGTTCAAACCTGTGAAGCATCCACACAGGTACCAAGCACCCTGGTGGACCAATTACTTCGACTGATAACTACTAATGATTTAAACACTGATTTACATACAGTATTGTTCAAAATCAAATAGTTGACAGAAATTATATACTTTTAATCAGTTATATTTTTATGAACTTTATAATTCATTGCTATTCTCAAAAGGTAATATAGTCAGAAATGAATTCTAAACGCTTTAGAATGATTTTTTTGAAGTTGGCTTCTATGTATCAAACTGAATTTCAATAAGTTGTTGTTAGTGTACGTGCATTTTTTGTGGATTTCCTCGATACAGATATTATGTTACAATTTACTTAAAATAAATGGATTGGACATATCCCAACAAAGACGGATCCAAATATCAACAACGGGATAGTTTAAACCCACACTAATAGTGGTATTAACACTAAACCCAGTGAAAAAAGTTAGTGACTATCTGAAGCCGACAGCTTATAATGGAAAACATATTAAGTGTTTGAAGCGATGGATACTCGATTGGAGTTCCAATGTGAATATGTATACTAGGATGCAGGTAAATCTAATTGACAGGATCCGCTTTACTCATATTACTGATTTGAAAACTTACAAATGTCTATTTAAGGAAATGTTTAAAAAAACACAGATTAAAATATACTCACGACATAAAAAAGAAGATATCTGGAGCTAAATGTCCATTGAAATACATTCCGAATAGCCAAATACGTCGAAATTCACCAGCTAATATCAATAAATTATCTAAAGAAATGTTTTTTTGAAAAAAAATACAATTTCAAGTGAACTTTAACATTTCCAGTTATTGTATTAATGGTTATGGAAACCTTAAATATTAGAATTTCCCATGGTGAAACGACTTTAGCTAATGGAACACTGAAAATTTAGAAAAACTAGTTGGCTATTCTGTCTTTATACGGACCTCTTCTTCAATAGGTATCCACTATTCCTGCAAGAATCGAGCCCAAGATCTTTTGTAAATATTGGGAATTGACTAAATTTCGAAATATAAATCATTGTATCCTAACTCACCATATGGTCTAGAGGTTCAAACTCTTATCTCTTAAAGGACTGCCGATACGCATTGCTTAAGAGTTTCATTGTGTAACGAGACACCTTTTAATACTGGCAAGTTTTCTGAGATTACCCAACTAAGGTCCGTCTGTGCTATATAACTATAAGACTTACAAATATATTAATTTATTTATAACAATCTACCCAATGCTCAATTTATTCGAAATTATCAAATCAAACCTTGGTAATGATACCTATAATATTTACAGTTATAATTCTCCGATTTCGTTGGTTTAAAATAATGTTTGTGAGTTATGTAAGTAATTTTAAGTACAAATCATTTGGTAAATCATCAAGAATCCAGAAACCATTGATCCAAGTTGAATACTTTATACCATCACAGACCCAATAATTCTAAAATATATAAGCAACATGATACTTTTAGACCTTTGAGCTATAATTTATTGACTCATACATTTAAATTTAGTCAATTCGTGAAATAACATCACTAATGAGATGCCATTTTACTTAAAAATTTCTTTCGAAGATAAAATTTATATTTGAACTTTATTAGATGTTGTTTTTGAGTTAAGTAGTATTGTAGTATCGCAAATAAATACATAAAAATATCTATTTGGACAACTTAGGACTGAACAACTCTTATTACATAAATTTGGTAGAACTGGATATCGACTAATAGATGACAGTTTACTATTGTGAGGACTAAACAAACGTACTTTAAATAGATATCTTTAGAATTGTTAGTCTAAATATCATACTACTCATTATTGGCTGAAGTAGATCCACAAACATTGCATTCCACTTTGCTTTCAGTGTTTTTCAAGTCGTAATTTAACCCTCGAGCCATAACATCACTAATTTATTGAATTAGCAAAATATAGTTCATAATTTCAAACACAGGTACTTGACATAGGAAATCAAGACTGCGTCAGCCTGGAAAGCTGTTGTGAGCATGTTGTAAAGCAAAATTAACTGGCATTCCAATAACACTGAACCATGTAAATATTTTCTAAAAGAAACTAATTTTCAATAACATTTCTTTGTTCACTTCAATTGCATTATCATACCAAATGGAATGACATAAGCAGATAGATATATGTATTGAATAGCAATGATGGATAGTGGAGTCCAGGACTCGCGTTTCGTCCTATTTGGGACTCGTTGGCTGGATGTACCTGCATCTCAGAGTTGACGTTCACTCTGGGACTCGAACCCAGTACCATTCGATTTAAACGCCATAGCGTTATCCACTCAGCTATTGAGTCCTGATAGCCACTTGCTTGTGCATACTCACAGTTTGCACAGATGCCAATAACAGACTGATCAATTGCAATCTTAAACCTCAATGGGAAGATACATGCCAAACAATATCAAGTGAATTTATGTATTAAATAGGTTGAACAAGTTAACAGGAAACTTTAACTATAGGTTTCTTGCTAGCATCGGAACACTTGTATGCAAAGGATATACTTATTTTTGACAGAACTGATATTCCTATGATTTTAAAATCTGTATCATTAAATGTTACCATAAGGTATATGACCATTGAATTATTCGAGCTGTGACTAGTCTCATACAAATTTGACATACTGACACTAATCAGGCAATTAGCAGCAAATTCATTCGATTTTTTAATAGTTAAATGTCCCAATCAACACTTTTCAATATGATCATTTGTCTAAATAACTTAATATTTCATGATTAGTCATAATGTTGGGATCATGAAAAGTCTCCACATGATCATAGATAACGATAGCATCTGTACTTGAAAATTTTCAGTATAATTTATAATTTTTGCCTGTAAAGCAAAACTATTATACTGCTTGAAAATCGAGCTTAAAATGTTTGCAGTAACAAGTAATGTATTGAAACGAATTCAACTTACTTGTCAACTTATAACCATGCAGTAATATATGTGCTCCAATAATCCAGACCATTGAAATACATCGAATACCATCAAAAAATGTTAATGAGATATTATGTGTTCCATTAGATTTATTATCTTCATTTCTTTTTGCACATAATTTCATTGTATTAATTGGTAATGAATAAGCACATAGTATCTTGGTGACAATACGTTTTTCCAAAATACCTTGTAAAGGAAAGAAATTTATTTTTTATATTGAATATTTCTATACTCATTAAAAGGTTAACGTTTTTTAGCGAGTTAGTTTTCTACAGGAAGAATAAACAAAAAAAATTGAATAGAACTAGAAATGAAGGCCCAGGACAGAGTGGGTTGGAGAATGCTGATCGGCGGCCTATGCTCCATTAGGAGTAACAGGCGTAAGTAATACTCATTCAAATAAATTTCACTGTACTTAGAATAATTTACAATTCATCATTTAAAGAAATAACATAGTTATAAGACAATTAACAGATCCATTCGAAGAATTTGAGTGGTATCTGCTTACTCTTTCCGTATAGCAATAAATATATTTTACAGTATTTTTGTGAGATTCAACAAGAACTTTCGTTGGAAGAATGTGAAAAGTTTAATAAAACAATGATAGTACTAGTAATATGAATAGTAGTAATGATATAAAAATATAAATAATGTTTAAATATTCGAAAAGGTCACAGACCAGAAAACCAATTAATAAATTCTTATATAAGGCTTTAAAATATAGTTTGTAAATAAGGGAATCCTGGTTACGAAGATAATAAAGTATCAAAAAACAGATAGGGAAGTTGAATTCATGAGTCGATCTAAGCTAGACCACTATTGAAAACCTGGAAGCAAGATTGGAAAGTGTGGAAAAACCATAGTCTTTTTATATGATTTCATATTGTCATATGAGAGAGAGAGAAAAAACATACATCACATACTTGGTTTGAATAAAATGATTGAGGCTTCTGGCTAGGAATCCGATAGTGTATGTTATGTGTAGTAATACATTTTGAACAAAGTTACGGAAATGTAATGGATTGTGATGCATAACTTTGGATTGTCTAGTTCTCTTTCACCAAGTAGCTTTTATCAAATGGATGTAATTAAAATAGCTATTAGTTGAGTTTGTCTGATCGTTTCCCCAACCAATGAGGGAATTATTAGTTCTTTGATTAAGGTAACTGACAATGTAGTGAACAAGAACACGGGTGAGGACAATCGATTGTACTTAGCACAAAGATTACAGACTATCTCAATAAAATGTGAATACCATAAAGTCAATCGTCAATTTGCAAAATATCATTCCATCATATCAAACTGTACTGTTCCCGTTGCAAACACTAATCCATTGTCTCTCATTCCATTGTACATGTGTTTTCTTACAATTCCATTGTGCTCTTGCTCTTCCTTTCTTGATCTTCGCCATCTTCTGCTGCCGGACCTTACGTTTATTTAACGCACGTTATATACTACTTATATGAATATAAGTAGCTCACACCACAACAACACTAATTACGAAAGTAGGATGAGATTGCAACTAGACAAAAGGTGGTGCAATAAGATTAATTACCACACCTATGGTTAATTTAGACTATAAAAAATAAAGATTGACACCAGAAAATCTCATTTTACAGTCCTGATTAAGATTTGGTACAAGTCAATCGGTACTCACAAAATAGAGACATCTTGCGAATACACAATGTTTCTAAGTTCTTGTTCGTCACATGGATATATTTACTGACAAAACTCTCGAGGTACCTCATCTTACCGAATAGTTTTAACAGATACTTCAATTCTCTCTTTATAATATCGTCCAAGCCAAGATTTCTTGGTTTGTTAGCGTAACATGTTATGAAAATTGCCTTAGTGTCCGATGATCACAAATTGAGAGCACTGTGTATCCTGATATTTTGGCAAGTCTTGTCTGTACACACTTAAACTAATAGATTTATCATGTAGTTTGTTTAACGGAGAATTTTTAAAAAATTGTAATAAATCAACAAACTCTTGGCAAGAAAAGTAAAATTAAGTGATTTGGAGAACATGGACAAGTCTTCTTAAGATTCAGACCACAGTGATAAAGCTAATTAACCTGATTAACCGATTTTTGAGTTATTTGGTTCTCATTTTTGAATAAATAATAATCGGTTGAATTGAAAAGAATGAAAGCTTAGAAAACATTGAATTATCCACTACTGTTTATGTTCATGGATCAATAATTAATTAATTCCATAATGATCTATGTTGGTTTTATAAACGATATTAGTTTGTCATTTTCGGTTCACAGTCAATTTCTTATACACAATTAAGTTACCCATATATGATACTCCGACTTTGAAACTTATTCACGCTCAGTTCGAGTAATTAAAACAAAATATATGAGTTCATTTTACTTCTGAATACTTATTATGCCCTAATGAACTTGCAGTCTAAATAACTGTACATACGTAATGAGTTACTTTAACAAAGTTTTCTAAACTATATTTACAAAGCTATTGAAAGTGTATCATATTAAGCTTCTCCGTATTGCATCCATTTTGTTACGTAACTATTATTTGACTGGATCTCTCTTACTCACCCACTTGTAATTAGTTTAAATTATTTAATAGGGAGATTTTTGTGGAAATGTTTACATAAAACAGAAAAGAATTTTCATTCGAAACTGAATTGAACTAAAACATCATTGTAAATTAAGAATCACTGGTTGATTATTTTGTTCAAAACGGTCTCTGTACAAAAATGTGCACCCTCATATGGGGGATTTTCGAACCTTCACTTTTATTATTCAGTACAGTGTCTCAACAAAAGTCGGTTTGAATCATATATTTCACATCCCAAACATTTGATAATTTATGATGTAGTACAATGTTTATTCAATATGATTAATAAGTCTATGAATCATTACAATGTTTCGTGATTTTTTGTGAACACTGAATAAGCGACTATAACGTCACTAGCTCACAATAACTGCTCAATATTTTAAGTAGACTTTATACCAATATCTGTTTATTTCATGGAGTTAGTTGATTTCATAGTCTTGAATTTCTACACAGTTAATTCATGTTGAACGACTAAATATATTTGCAATCATTCAATAATCTATTGCTCATTCAGTCTTTTCTACATTAACCATTAACTTGAGCTACCACTGAAATGGATTTCTGACAAATAAAAAATCGATATCTTGAATTGATTACCTTTGTTTACAAAAAGACTTCTTTCAGGTAATGAATATCAAAGAAGAATTGGTTTACAATAACAAATAGTTACTGAGTACGTCATTTACAAATTATTATTATCATTATTATTTCACTTTATCTGACAAACTATTTACAACTAAGGTTAACTGAAAAGTCTTATTGGTTCTCATTTGAAAAACCTTAGAAGTGCTCATAGAAGAACTCGCTAAGAATAGACTCTAGGAACTTTATTTCTCTTAGTGACCACAATGCCTAAATATAATAATCATCGTTTGTTATATTTGATCCCTGTTTAATGTTCAGTCTAGATATGCTTCATCTGTCATGATCTCAAGACTTTATACTAAAGCTTGTCAATTGTGAGATGATTTTAGTTTATCTGATTTGTTGTACAGATTGACTCCACTTTAAGTTAATTTTTGTCATAAATTGTAACTATAGATTTTGAGCCTACTGTTTACAATTATAACCTTTACTGAGAAATTTGAAGTTCGATTCTTAATGAAGTCTTGAATATCTACTTCTATAGAGTTTAAAAATAATGCTTTACAACCACATAGTGCTCCTTAACTTTCATTAGCTCTTTATATAAAGTCATTCCAAAATGAAAATTATCTTCACAATTAAACATAATTATTCATAATTTGTTTTCACTTGTCAAACATTACTGTAACATGTATTCTCTTTCGGATACACGCGCACACACACACACATACACTCAAAAGCACATTACAATGTTTCATTTACACATGTTAACAAATACAATGCTCATATTGTGTCTGGTAGTTTTATTAATATACTGCATTCCATGGAGGAATCAATAAATCACTACAGTTATTTATCATACGACAAAAATCTATGTTTTTCATTGTACCAATTAAACCAGTAAACTTTACATGATCTGATTTCCTTCATTGATTTATAAAATACTTGTTCATTGGCTAAATGTTTAATTGGCTTAATATTCTATTGAATAAAGCATTTGATTAACATTGATTAGTTTAATGATTATATACCTTACGATTTTCTTAGTGTATAAAATTGGATCTTACGTTAAATTTATACTGAACGATGCTGAACAAATTAGGTCAGAAATATACGTTATCTCAAAATTGTGGTTGGAAGATCATTGGAAGTCAGAGTTATTATTTTAATTACTAGTTATGTAGTGAAGGAGAACACGGATGAGGACAACCGAATTATATTAAGCAAAGAATTACAGAGTTACTTGGTAAAATAGAAAAAAACCATACTATAATACTTAATTTGCAAAATGTTCAATAATCGTCTTGAACTTCGTTGTTCTTGCATTTCCATACTAATTGCTTTCTATTCCCGCTCTTCCTTTCTTGATCTTCTTCATATTCCGCTGCCAGACATTACATTCCTGGCTCGCGTCATATACTACTTATATCAATATAAGTAGCACGTACCACAGTTATATTATTGAGATAAAAACTTCAAAATTTCAAGAATATTTTATAGATAGCTTCCATAACAAAGTCTTTAAACTAATGTAATATGTATGTGTTGAGCTGGAAAGAATCATATTTTTCTCCTAAGCTTATACTTCGCTCTATTCCATAACATAACCACAGATGTTATGACTCAAAAGATTCTGATGAATACTGTAAACTTGTGAATGATACTTAGTATTTGATTGGTTGATTTCATAAAACTATCAGCTTAGTTGATGATTTTTGATTAAAATAAAACAAATCAATAGTGATGCAATAATTACACTCATGCTCAAAGATATTGAAGACGTATTGACTCAGATTATTTTTAACAATATCTATGTTGTTGGTTCCTGACGTTTCTTAGAAAACTCAGTTTGTTACCTTCTTGAAAATGTAAAAGCTGTTAGAATTCAACAGAATTTCTTGAACTTATTCAGTTTTCTCACTTTAAATTTGTCGTTACTTCCATCATAACATATCTATTGAACATTTGAATACATTACCTTACAACAATGAGTGAGATTAATCAAAATTAGTTATGGCGGTTTTTGATTAAAAATCCTACACTTTTGTACTTTATTCAGTGTTATTCCTTTTTACAGTAACCTAATATTATTATTTAAAAACTTATTACAGATTATCATTGTTAAAAGTTTTGGTTAAACTACAGTATAGGGATGAGAATAAAACAACTGTGACTAATTTCCGCCTAGTTCCAAGTCCGTCAGAAAACAGATTTTACGAATGGCTATTTTATGGGGAAAAATAATAACTTTACAAATCTCAAATAGATTTCAGTCAATTGTTAAGTCTACTAGGTTACACTACCTGTAAATAGGAAAAAACAACGACGTATAAGCTTGTTCTTACGGCTAAAAATTGTCTATATTCTTGAACTCTTAAAATAATCCGAGTAGATGTTTAAGAATTCTCACGCTGTTTCTATTTGAGGTAAGAAATTTAGGGTTCAGGGTTAGAGTTTCCATCACAAACTCATATCAGCTATAATGTAAAAATATTCTGTAGACATATGAATGAATGAACTTTGCTCGGAAATATAAGGGGTTTTGTCTGATTGTTTCATACACCACCTGGTGCCACCACGAATAGGTCAGTTTCAGAATTAAGGGTGAGGATTTGGTTACAATTTCGATTTGCCTGATTTATACAATATGTAGAGACAGAATTAGGTATTCGACACGTTTAACACTATCATATTACTTTTATGTTTGCAAAAACAATTTCTAGCCATTATCTCAAAAGTTTTGAGAAGTACACAAAGGTATTTGTGCTATTCGTTATCATGATGGTTGAAATTCAGGCAAAAATCTACAAGTCATGTTCTCGATTTTGATTAGCTCTTCTGTATACTATACTTTTATCGAAATTTCATATATCTTTGATTGTACAGCTTAGAAAATGAATAAGTGGTAATGAGATGTCTTTGCTCAATCACTCTCTTTTGTTCAAAAGTAATAACAAGTAGATTATGAATGGAATTTAAATGACAGACATTTAAGCATGCCCCTCATGACCTTAATTAGAGTAAACATTGCCTAATGATCTTATTTGTATGACAGTTTATTTAACAGGGTTTTTTGATTTATCTCATTATTGATGCTCAGGATTGAATTTCCCTTACTAGTAATGATAGAAACAGCAAACACGCTGAACAACTTAGCGGCTATTTGGAGTCAGCAGCTTAGTAGATAACGCCTTGAAGTTGTAGGCGAAAGGTACTTGGTTTGGTTCATGATGTGAACAATAATTTTGGGATTTAAATGTATCCAACTAACGTGTCTCAAATAGGACAAACCTCAAGTCATGTATCTCACTACCAGCCACAATCCATCAGTTCTGTTCACTTTCTACTTCTTTGGTCGACTAGATTTGTTTAAATTAATACTTTTTGGTGTATCAAGTCAAGCCCACTATTTTAGTGGAATGAAGACATTACAAACAGATATAGTGAATTTATAGAATCTTGTTATCTACGTGCAATTTGAGGTGTCATTCTTCAGATTTGCTGTCATAACTCTTGTGCACAGAGTAATAACTGAAGTAAAATGAATTTAACAGACAACAAATATTTATCAGTATCGACTGACTTGACCCAGATAAATATTCAAAACTAAAGTCTGCTGGATTAATGTTTTGTCATAGAGTGGAGTAAGTAACCACTATAACGCTAAGAATCATTTGTCCACGACTTCAATTCCAGTCAATTCGTGATATTGTGTTACAATCATCCATTACTTTTCACAGATCATGACTTTTAGCTGGAATGTTTTTCAGAAGTTACCAGTAAATGCACGATAATTTTATGCGTAGGATGTTTATGAAAACTGTTTTATTTGTCATTTACTTCAGTGGCTGACTTTAACCCCTTTATTTTCATCAGTTGTCTAGCTAAAATCAGCTTGTGATACAAACCATTCTGATAGTGAATAATCTCCACAAACTTTCTGTGTTAATGACATAGAGTTACTATGGGTTACATACAGATAAATATGATCTAAGCACTAATATGTAATTGTGTTTATGCAATAAACTATTGAAGTAAACTGAAGGAATATAGGTCTTGACAATATGAGTGACCAAGATCTACTTTAAACGTTCAGAATGTCTAATCTATTTGGCTTCAGTACACAACAAACAGTTCTATTGTTTGTGATCACAATTACCTTCATTTACCACACAAATATTTGGAGTAACGTTACTTAACAATGAATAAACAGTACAATTCTGTAATTAGTTTAATAAAAACCATGCAAAATTTCAATAGTGTTATCAAATGATTTGAAAAGCTTACTGTTTAGTTCAAAACTGATCAGATCGTGAATAGTAAAACTTAATTCACATTGACACAAAGAACATCCGGTATTTAGATCATTTCAATGAAAATGATATCATTTAATACTTTACAATATGAGTATTTGATACAATAACATAGTAATATATCAAATATACTTAACCTGTCTTTAAATCACTTCATATAAACTATGGTTAGAATTATGTTTACATAAATCCATAATAAATAATGCTATAAAATGAGGTAGACATGCTGCAATTGTCGGTTTTACAATTAATTTACACTATTAACAGAGTATGAAAATGAATTTCATCGTAAGTTGATCAATATTCCAGCAATTTAAAGTATAAGAGGATCGGTGGAAATTATAGAATCTTCATATTGTAAATCATAAACTCTCTATATATTTGTAACAATCAGGAGGTCACTACTTATTGATTTCAAGATGTAACTCCTGTAGTTCTAGTGGGAAGCCAACTTGGACTTACATGATACTATTCTTTTTGATTTTATTGTAACTAACCAATGACAAGAGCATTTGTCTTTAGTTCGTTCATCTTTCCTTGCTTTTTCAATGTGACACTATTTTAATACTTCTAAATGTACCCATCTGTTCTTTTTACAGTTGGTTCTTATATGATTTACCCAACATGATCGTTCTGTATAATCTAAGCTCTCTGACAATAACAAATCTAGAACTTTATCACATTTGGAGACTTATCATTAATAAACCATATTTCAGTTGTAAAATAACTTAATCAGTTTAGCACAATATTATAAATCCTCATTCTTAGTCATAAAAGTAACCTATCATTGGTCTGTAATCATAATCAATAATTCAGTGTCTTCATTTGAAACATTCTGGCGAACATTAAGTTACACATTATATTCTAGTTTTCAAATTTCTAACACATCGAATCAGGTCAATATCCTAGATTGTACTATACGTCACATCACTAATCATTTATCCAATAGTAACAGTAGTTGTTGACTGAAAGCTTTCAATCTACATTTTATATAACTTTGTAATAATAATTAGACTTACATTTTCTATATTCATTGAATGTTGTCAAGTATTTCTCATCAATTAGCCTCACACTTTCCAGTTCTTGATCATTATGGATAATATCATCTGATTCTAATGAACGATATGTTTGTTCTTCAATATGATTTACATTTTCAATTGAGTTTCTTTCGGAGATATGATTTATTCCAGTAATATACTTGTTTAAATGTTGTATATGATACCATTTAATGTATAAAAACATATCTATACTTGTGGCAATTATCACAAGGATAGTTAATACTGAACATATTGATCTGTAAAAGAACAAAAATTGGTTTTTGAGATAAGTAGAATGTATTGTTTAATTTGCTGTACCCAAATTAAATTACATAGTGAATAACAGTTTGTTTATAGCTCATATCTATGTGACTAGAGTTTGAGGTTTAATATTCTCTATTATCCAAGAGTTTAGCATAAGTTTCAATTTTATTTTAAAGTGTTCATATGATCATCAACATCGACCTACTGTGGAAGAGAACGAACCAGCTTCGAGCTGAAGAGGAAATTAGTAGAAGATACTAGAAGTCGATAGGACATACATTTCGGAAATCATCAGAATGCATTACGAGTCAAGCGCTAAATTGGAATCCTTAAGGGAAACACAAAAAAGGAAGACCAATGAACAAACTTAGCCGAGAATCAGAAGCAGACATTAGAAGGATGAATAGCAACTAGAAACACCTGGATAGGATTACCCAAGACAGAGTTGGATGGAGAATGTTGGTTAGCAGCCTATGCTCCTCCACGAGTAGTAACAGGTGTAATATATATAATATCCCTAAATAAACTTTTCATGGACAGAAGTTCGATATTCACTCTAAAAGCAATATTGTTTGGTAAAACTTCTCATAGAAGTGAAACCAAGATGTTTTTCATCATTGAGTATATGAGTAAACGGTACAATATTTTTGTAAGAGAACTCTTCTTTTATTCTTTATCCTTATAAGTATTCTATTAAAAGATAAAGCCCAAGTGGATATAGTTACAGATGTAACGGTGTGGAGTGCTATACAATAACGTAAGAGATACTAAAGCGTTAACAGAAATGAATACATTAAACTGATTATTATCAACTGGAAGTTTCGTCAAAATAAATTTGGAATTATTGCAAACAAACAGTTTTTTTCTTATATTAGGTCAATAGTATTAATAAACAGTGAATTATCAACAAACCTCTTAACCAAACACCGACTGTTTACTTATATATGACCAACTTAAAGATGGATTAATGTACTTTCAAGAAGAAATGACAAACGGCGCAATTCGCTTATATCATTAGGGAGAAAGTTATTCACCAATTACTTTAAATGATTATCATGTTATTATGTGTGAATCGACTGACGCATGAAATGTAAACCATTGGATAATCTAAGTGTAATTCGTTCGCTATCAAACATCACTGTCCAGAGTTTAATCCCTGAATGTATTATGTGTGCTCACTATTAGTTAGTGAAAAAATAGAATGAAATATATATTCCTTTGGTGTTAATCTTCGACGTAAACAATCTTCAAATTCAATGAATCTTCACAAGAATCGCACAACTATATTCATGATACTTTTAAAACAGCCACACTATTACTTAGTAATCATTATGTTCTTCTTAATTTAAAACATGCCATCAGATAGTTCATGTTATAACCATATAACTACAAAGACTGTTTTCTTAGTAGATCATTACTGACTTAATTAGGTTTGAGTCAAAATATTTAATCAATACTACTGTCAAGAAACAAATGGTTTTTAATTTTCTCTAATTTAATGAGATAACTTTTTCGGTGATTTGTTGCCTTTGAAAGTGATTGATAAATACAGAATGAAATTAACAGGGTAATCAATCAATGAAAACGAGTAGATATCGAACAGTTATTCTGTACTTCTTTGTAACTCATCACCAAATAAAAATACTTGTTGTTGTTGTTTAAATTGAAATGATCCAGATTTGTACCTCAGAGAGATCATTTTTACTGAAATTTTATTCTTCAAGTTGGGTAGTTAAATCATGAAGCTTTGATTGTCTTTCTGAATATCATTATCAGCACAAACTTCAGGTACAAGTGAGTTAATCGAACTTCTCTACATTTGAGTGATAGCTCATTCTATTGACCTTGAGTTCAACTACTTATTATTGATCTTTACCCTATCATTGTTTGCATATTTACTTTGACTTTATCCCTATTTGACCTGATTCTTGTTGCTATATTTGTTCATAATTTTTCTAACTGTTTGATGAGTGAAGCTGTTTGGAATAGTCCTATGGTATAAACCACCAAATTAACTTCAACCAACCTCATCCAGATAAAAAAGGCGAAACAACTGGTGAAGAAAGGCTAAATTTAATCTACGAAAAAACTGCTCCAACTGCGTGAAATACTGCATCAGGCTGAGTGAGCCCCCCTCTTCATCTTGGTCCCCATCACACTAAATATCTGCTAGACTCCATGATTTATATTCGCTTATAATAACACACAACTGTGCATACACTAAAATTTTCAATAGAAGAATCAAAGAATTTTTAGAAAATTGTCATTCAGCTTGACAATCAATAACCAGAATGAAATCAACCAACTTTACTGACAATCTGGAAAGATTTTGGACAAATATAGCAACAAGAATCAGGTCAAATAGGGATAAAGTCAAAGTAAATATGCAAACAATGATAGGGTAAAGATCAATAATAAGTAGTTGAACTCAAGGTCAATAGAATGAGCTATCACTCAAATGTAGAGAAGTTCGATTAACTCACTTGTACCTGAAGTTTGTGCTGATAATGATATTCAGAAAGACAATCAAAGCCTCATGATTAAACCGCGCAGCTCAGTGAATAAAATTCCATCAAAACTAAATGCAACTGTTCATTGTATCACTGAAGGATGTAATTTTTACTGACAACAACGAAATTCTTTATGTTTAGTAACAGGAAAAATCATTTATCTTACTAGTCCTCCACTTTAAAAAAACATAAATATATAAACGTTTGGAATAGATTATTCAGCGTTAAACTAAGTTAATTATTTCCTATTATATTAAGACATGTTATCAAACAGTCGGAAAATCCATGAAACACATTGAGTCCTGATATGAGGATATTTTTCATACTATATACATATATAACTCAGTTCTACATGACGTTATTTGTGATTTAGTGTAGCGAACTATTAGAATTTTTAGACATTGAACAACATTAATTTAAAGGGTATAACTTTATTCATTACCAAAGGTATATAAATATGCTAAGTAGTGTCCACAAATAAAAACTCTTATAAAACACATTTGACACATCACTTTTACTTCCAAGGTCAATGAGTGTATACTAATTTAATAAAATACACACTTTATTGATCACAACATTTTTTCATTCACATCCGAAAATTTGTTTTATAAGCCTCTAAGATTGATCTAATTGATTTTTGTTACATGCAAAAACTATGGATACACTGAACGATTTAAAATATTTTTCACAAAAACTGAAAAAAATATGAGCTTATAATTTCTTTTATTTTGGTTGACAGTGAAATTCACGATGGATATTTTGTATTGACAATAAAATATTTTAATAGATGAGATCATGAATCAATTGAAACTAGATCACCATAGAAAACCTGAAAGCAGTGAACGGCCGTTTCGTCCGTTTTACCCTGCACGGACCAATCAATTGTAAATACATCTCAGTCCTACAGGAGGTCAGTCGCGACCCGAATAGCTCAGTGGTAACGTATCTAACTGTGAAGCTTGGTGACACGGGACAGAATCCGTCAGAGAACATCCGTTCCATCGAAAATAATACAGGTATACTTTACTGATGAGCACCAAGTATCACAAAACCTAGGTCTAGGGTTTCCTGTTGACTACCTTCAACAAGCACTATATAACGAGGTGAATACATTGCATTTCATATTCTCTAATTCATTAAAATAGGAACTAATTTGTACAAAATAAGTGAAATATTTTACAATTGTAACTGTATATATAATATTTGCGTATGTGAATAAATCAAAGGACAAAAAATGAAATAAATTCACTTCATTCTATAATGTTTATTATTCTTTATTTACAAACATTTATTTACCAAGGAATTAATTAAATAAACTTCATCAGTATGAATTTTCAAGGAGCATGGCAAATGTGAACTCTAGTGTCATGTGATAATTATATTCGTAGTATTTATTAAATTTGGACTTCTAATATGCCACTGGCAATAACTTTGTCTATTTTTTTACATAATATAATAGTATCATAAGGGGTTTTGTGGATATTATAGTAATTTTAATAAATGAAATCATGAGTCAATTGAAGCTAGACCACTATGGAAGCACTGGACGGTCGTTTAGTCCTACTGTGAGACTCCTCAGCATTGCTCATCCACGATCCCGCCTCATGAGATTCAAACCCAGGACCTATAAATCTTGTGTGAGAGCGCTTAACCATTAGACCACTTAACTGTCATTCAACGGTGTTAATGTTTATCTTCAACTAATCCACGAAATTGAGCGACACATCCACCATTGTCTTCAGTGAATTACTATCTCACAACAGACCTGGTTGAACTCCACTGGTCACTGCTTCTCATTAAAACTCTAGAAAATACCTTGAAGACCGTTACTATTGAGCATATGTTGAATAATATCAGAAGGGGTTTTGTGGTTAAGTGTTCGCTCGTGAGAATGATAAGTCCTGGATTCGAATCTCGTGGGGTGAGATCGCCAGTGCGCACTGCTGAGGACTTTCACAATAGGAAGAAACGACCGTCCAGTGCTTCCAAGTTTTCCATGATGGTCTAGCTTCAATTGACTCATGATCTCAACTATTAAAATATATAATAGTTATTAATAGATCACCAAGTATGCATAAAATCAGCATTTAAATGAATGTATTCAAATTAAATGATGACTTATCTTGATGACATATTTCGGTAATATTTTTGGAGAGTCAATATGTTCTTATTTGCTCCAGTATCCTATATTCTAATTTTACATTGTGAGAATGATAGTGATTCTTAACTGTCAAATATAAACTATATTACGGAAGATACGACGGGTGAGACAGGACAAAGTATTACAACTCTTATAACTCGTAAAATTGTCTTTTACTTCTGTTTTTAGTATGTACTTGTAGTTTTAACTGACTGTCATACAAAGACCTATTTCAAATAAGCACACCGTCATTTATTTCAAATGGAATTTCTGCAATTCAATAAAATATTTCTTCAAATAAAATCAGTAATAATCATAGTTATTACTTCGTATGACACCAAAGCTTAATTAATTATGATTTCGTGACAAATGTCTATTGTTTGGCAAATTTTAATTCTTTAAAAAATGTCAATTTGGTTTACATTCATATTACATGAAATACTTACATAGCTATGTAATACCATGTGTCTTTTTGAACATCACCAACAAGTCGATGACAAAAACTTTCCTTTTGATTCAATCTAAGTAAGAGATAATACGCAGCTAATATCATAAACAAAAATAACACTATATAATCTTACTTGTATTGATAATACTTCTAACCTCTTCACTAGTACAAGTATTAGGCATACATAATCCAATGGACATTCTTAATTCCTATAAAATGAATCCAATTAAATCCGACAATAAACTATTAATTTTACCGGAATAATTGCTATAGAAGTATTCATATTAAATACCATAGTACAATATGATCCATGAAATTTCGGTTCTTCATTTTCAATTGAATGATATCCTAAACATTTAAGGCATACATCATAACTTCCCACCCAATGTACAGCACCACCTAGAATTCCTGATGGAGGATGTGTTGTAGCATCTAACCCTATATAATAAAATTAAATGTTAATATTAAAAAAAATTATATGAATCAAACATTGTAATGCCCAACTTTTCTTTTCATATATACCCAATATAATATTAAGTATATCATTTGTACATGATGTTTTACTTTGAGGCAATTTTAAATTTGTATATACATTTTTGTTAAAGAAATGATTCATTGAATTAAATGATTCAGTATATAGATCATGATTTAATTCATGAAAATATCCATTGTTTATAAAAGATTTGTTGTGATTGTTGCCATGACAATAATAATTATAAAATAAAAGCCATAGCAACCATAATAACGATAGATTTTGTGTTAATCGTAACATTTTTTAAATAATAATATCACATATGAAGAAATTTTATAATAAAATATGATATTAATATTATTAGGGTTACATTAAATTGAAATGACTTACATATAAGTTTGTTTATACATCCATTCAATTTAAAATAAATTAACCAATCAAATTATTCCTTAAGTATTTAAGGCGGGAAACACCTACGCAATGTTGTTGTTTTTTTCATTATGACTAATTTTCATATATTCTTTACCTTTCATGGTCTTGATTGCAGCTATTACTACAGTACTGCTTACAAATTCCGAATCGCAAATAACCGCTTGATGTTGTTAAATTTCTTAATTATTATCCTATCTTTGATGTACTTCAGTTGTGACTTTATGAATTGATTACTTCTATTCTCTGTTATTGATATTAAAGCACGTTTCCTGTTTGTTTTTTGGAACGTTGATACTGATAAAAGGTAATTAGATGCATTTCTTGTATAGTTATTATTTAATAGTTGATTGCTCAGTTTGTGAGCAATTTGAATTGACCTCTCCGTTTTATTTGGATAGAATATTGTCCCTTGAAATTTCCTAAAAATCTCCACAAAACTCATTCTGATAATAATCAACCGCTCACTAGTGACTGACTTCAGGAGAACCTCCTGGAGTTCTAGTGAGAAGCCGTCACCAGTGGAGTTCAACCAAGTCTGTTGTGAGATATCAGCTCACTGAAGACAATGGTATACGGTAGCGCAACTTCGTGGGTTGGTTGAAGTTAGACATTAACACCGTTGGATGCCGACTCAGTGGTCTAGTGGTTAAGTGATCGCGGGCGAAGCCAGTAGGTCCTGGGTTCGAATCCTGCTGGGTGCGGGATCGTAGATGCGTACTGCTGATGAGTCCCATACCAGGACGAAACGGTCGTCCAGTGCTCCCAGGTTTCCGATGGTGGTCTGGCTTCAATTGACTCATGATTTCAACCTGTGAAATTTCCTAAAAATCTCCACAAAACTCATCCTTGACTATTCCGCCTATTATTACAGTTTTATAGAGTGTATAGCTCTTCTAGGGTTGTTGCCGGTCCCAAGCCTGAGTAAAGGAAGTTAGTTACGCATAGTGTCAGCAACCTCATCCAGTAGAAAATAACCTTACTAAAAAACACCAACCAGGATGAACAACTTAAACCATTTAAACTTTACCCTGGAATTTTACAGATCCTCCTTCAGAAAAATTATGACGCCTCGTGGTGAAGGTTGAGATTCTTCGGACTTCACAAGTTTGATGCCTGACAATGTGGGGGACCGGTAAGAGCCACCGAATGAGGGATACAACCTGGAGGTGCTCGGAATCAGAGAAACCAATTGAACACAAGCTGAACAGAAAAGGATTATTCGGGAGAGATGCTGCTGTACTCCGGTCACGAAAAAGAAAATTCTTTGCACACTGTCCAAACAAGCACGTAAGGCGCTTATAGGATGGGAATCTTATGGATTCAGAATCACCGAAGCATCTTTCAAAACAAAGAAGGAGGGGATCAAAATGAATGTTATCTAATGTTATGCGCCTACCAATGATAGCAATCACGATTAAATAGGTCAGTTTTACGAGAGGCTGCAATCGATCATGGTGAAGTGCTAAGGAAAGAACTTGACCATCCTGATGAGAGACCTCAACTCCAAAGTTGGGATGGACAACACCGGACATAAAGATATCATAGGAGGACATGGACTGACTGGGAGAAAGAAACGATATTTGCAAATTTGTACATTCGGCAAAATGGTTATAGGCGGCATTATATTCCCCACAAACACATACAGAAATCTATATTGGTACCACAGGATCACATTACAGAGAGCAGATCGATCATATTTGCATCAGTAAAACATTCAGGATGTCAATGGAAGATGTAAGAACAAGGAGGGGAGCTGACGTAGCTTTAGATCACCACCAACTGGGTTTGCCACGATGAAACTGAAGCTAAAAAACACTGAACAGCTAAGAAAACGGCTGTACAAAGGTTCAATACATCCGTCCTTCGAGATACTGACAAACAAAACGAATTCACGATAGCTCTAAACAATAGGTTTCAAGCCTTACAAGGTCTATTGAAAGAGGAAGAAACAACTATGGAGTTTTGGTGTCTGACTCCTATTTAGATCGTATAAATGATTGTTATCGCCTATTCTCGTATATCATCGTCGACTTGAATCGCGTTAGTCAATAACGAAATTAAATAAGTCGAATAACGAGAATCGACTTATGAATACATATATTTTGTACATGAAGCGAATGAAACAGCAAAGCAAAATGACACGTATGGAAGATGGCTGAGAAGCCAACTCCATTTTAGTCAAGCGTTACTCAATATTTATAGTCAGACAAAATAAAGCTACAGACATGTGATTAATGGGATAAGACTGATAAGCAAATAATTGACAAGGTCAAAATATGACTCAAGTAGAATGAATAGAATGGAATGTCCGAAAGCTGGAATAAGATATATGGGCTTGGCATAATAACTGACACCACATGTCTGTCTGATTTTGAATTCCAAATACATTATAGTTTTTCGTGCTCACCCAGTTGTATTTCGCCTTAAATGCGTTATTTCGGGGATTAAAGAAGCACTAATTTCAACGTGCTAAGCATTGCTGGGCTGCAGGAAGCATTTCCATCGAAATTCTGGGTTGGATTCAAGAAAGGAAGAACAAGAAGACAGCAGTTAACAACAACCGAACAAGAACAGAGAAAGTCAGGGTAGACGCTGAATACACAGAAGCAAACAGGCAAGTGAAGAAGAGCAATAGAGGTGCCAAACAAAAATACGTGGAAGAGCTAGCAAAGACAACGAAAAGGGCTTCAAGAGAACGAAATATGAAACATTTATATGACACGACGATGAAACTGACATGGAAATATAGTAAACCAGAGATACCAGTCAAGAACAGTGAAGGCAAGACAATCACTGAGATTCAAGAAAAGAGGATGAGATGGGTAGAACATTTTGAAGAACTCCTGAATAGGCCAGCTCCACTGAATCCATTTAGTATCGAAGCAGCACCTACAGGTCTTCCAGTTGTTTCTACGTAGCCAATATTAGAAGAAATCAGCATGGCCATTAGACAAATAAAGAGTGGAAAAGTGGCGGGTCTAGAAAACATATCAGTCGAAGTACTGATGTCGAACGCAGAGGTAACTGTTAAGGTCCGCTACATTCTATTCAGAAGGATTTGGGAGGAAGAGTAAGTGCTGATAGGCTGGGAAGAAGAATATTACATCAAGATACTAAAGAAGGGTAATCTGAGCAAATGTGAAAACTACTGTCGGTACCAGAGGAAGTTTTCAACATAGTGTTGCTGAACCGGATGAAAGACTCTGTATACGCCAATCCTTGAGATTGACAGATCGTATTCTGTTCGTTCATAGACCACGTCGCGACACTACGGATCATTCTTGAACAACCAATTGTATGGAACCGGTCACTTTACATCAAATCCCTTAACCACGAGGTGTTTGACAGTGTGGATAGGAGAACATTATGGAACCTTCTTTGACACTACAATGTGCCTGAGAAGGTCGTCAACATCATCCGTAATTCATACGATGGGGTACAGTGCAAAGGCATGCATGGAAGACAGCTGACAAACGTATTCCAAGTGAGGACCGGAGTCAGACAAGGCTGCCTACTCTCTCCTTTTCTCTTTCTCCTGGTGTTTGGTTGGATTACGAAGACCTGGACATCTGATGGAAAGTGCGAGATAAAATGGACAGGTTGGGTGCAACTAGACGATTTGTACCCCGAAGATGACCTGGCATTTCTATCGGTAGAACAAAGGTTACTCAAAAGCACGAAAATTTTCCCCATGTTTATAGTTTTGCAATATAACTTGATGTTCTTCTTATAAACATGAGGTTCTTCTTGCTGTTTTATTCTAGGTCAGATGGCTACCATTTACTTTTATTGCGATGTTTTTTTTTCTTTATTTTTCCATTTTATTTCTGTGATTCGCAATACATGCGTTTATATTATTTTGCCCGACATCTCGATTACACCAGTGGCCATACTAATCCATTCTCTATTTTGATTGTGCTGTTTGAATTAGCTGAAATTTTCGATTTGTTATTCTGAACTGAAACATACTTCCAAAATTTCAAAAACTCAGCGTTACGACAAGTGATTAATGGTATAAATTTGATAGTTTCTTGTTGATAGTTTTGTGGAGTTAAATACTGCATTTTCGACAAAATTTACGCAATTTACCCGAAAAAAATTGAATTATATCCACGTATTGGTTAATTCATTAATGCATTGAAACTGATAGCTACTTTATAACTTTTATCAATTTATCTATTAAATATGATTCAGATTTGACTGTTTATTAAACAATTATTGGTTGAATAACTGTGTGGTAATATTTTTTCAAATGATAGTGTACATTCAAATTTATAACTTTATGCAAAACCATTCGTTACCCAACCACTTTGTTTTGAATTTCGACTGCACAAAAGTACATGTGTCTGAACCAACCTCCACAGCTATTCTAATTCCAAACTGTCTAAGTTTGGAAGTAACAGAGATAGTTTAGTGTTGTTAAACAATAGTGCTTGCAAGACCTGGAGTCTTCACTGTGGCTCAATTGCTGACTTTTCCTTGCACAGTCTCCTTGTCCAAGCTGTAACGACGGAAATACTAGTATTCGGTCTTAATACAGAAATAATGAATCGAATTTTGTTCGGTTGGGCTAAACTACTGTAGTGTTAAATAAATCCCCAAAATAAATAGCCCTGTAAGTTTTCGACATTGGATGCTGACCAGATTAGTTTAAGTGGACTCAACTAGCTGAAGGCACTTGGTCATGCATCCGCACCAGATCATGTGTGGGAACACCGTGCTCAAAATCTACTGCAATCGCTAGCCAGACTAGATCAGACAATTCCGATATATTGGCAGTCGTCAAGTACAACTTCTGATCTCCTCGATTCTGTCTTTTGATTTCTCTTGGTGGGTACGAGTTATATTAGAAGGTGTTACTGGTAAAAGCGTTGTCAAACACTGAATACCTGTGCCATCTTCAATATCAAACAGTTTCGAAATAAATAGCCAACTATCT